AGAATATCTTGGGCACTATATTTCTACCAAAGGGGTAATAGTGGATCAAGGAAAATTTTCTATTATTACAAATTGGCTAGTTCCAAATAATATTCGTAAATTGCGATCATTCCTAGGTCTTACTATTACTATCATTGTTTTGTGGTAAGGTATGCTTTAATTGTAGCACCCATAATTAAATCATTGAAGAAGGAATCATTTTGCTGGAATCAAGACGCCCAATGTGCTTTTGATCAACTACAAAAGTCATTGTCTATAACTCTAATATTATCCTTACCTGATTTTTCTAAGACATGCATCATTGAAATAAATGCTTCGAATTATGACATTGAAGATGTATTAATACAAGAAAGCAGACCTATAATTTATTTTAGTCGAAATTTATCAAAATAGTTACAAGCTAAATCATTCTATGAACAAGAACTATTTGCCCTAGTAAGGTCTGTCCAAAGGTGGCACCATTACTTGTTACATCAATGATTTATAATCTGCATAGATCAAAAATCTTTGAAGTTTTTACTTGAACAAAAGCTCGTATTAGATCCTTATCACAAGTGGTTGATTAAATTGATGGATCTGGATTTTGAAATTTGATTTAAAGTAGAGAGATATAATATAGTGGTAGATGATTTATCTCGTTAGCCTAGTAACGCAAAATTACAAGAAATGTATGTGCAATATTTTCAATTGATTGATTTTACTAAGATCAAAGATGAAATATCTCATGACTCAAGGTTATCCTCAATTGTTTATGATCTCTCTAAAGCCTCTCATGTACATCCTAACTTCTCATTACAATAGAGAATATTGTTACATAAAGAACAACTAATAGTTTCATCTCAATTTATTTTTATTCCAATTCTTTTAAGAGAAATCCATGATAGCCCAAGTGGTGGTCAACATGTTAGATTTCTTCGAAATTTTTTAAGAGTCTCAAATAATGTTTATTAGTCAGGCATGAAAAAGTCAATTAAGAGATATATTGATGAGTGTACAACATGTCAAAAACACAAGCTATCTTCACTTGGTCCTCGAGGTCTACTCTAACCATTACTAGTGTTTCCATGAATTTAGGACTTAACTATGAATTTCTTAGAAGGATTACCTTAATCTAAGGACTTCAATTTCATACTAGTTGTCATGGACAGATTGAGAAAATATAGTCACTTTGTTCATCTAAAATAATTGTTTTCAGCTCATGAGGTTGCACTTACCTTTTCCAAGGAAGTGGTACGACTTCATGGGATGCTAAGATCAATTATTTGAGATTGTGACAAGTTTTTTACCAACAATTTTTAGAAGGAGCTATTCACACTAAATGTTAAATTAAAAATAAGTGCTACATACCACCCTCAAACGGATGGACAGTCAGAGGTTGTCAATAGGTACTTAGTAACTTAAGATGTTTTACATCTACTAAACCCAAATCATAGAGTGAATGGTTGCATTGGGCTAAGTATTTGTGCAACACTACTCACCATTCGACTATCAAGACAACACTATTCAATGTGGTTTATGGATGAGATCTTTCTATTGTGATCAAATATGCTATTCCACCCTCACCTCTTTCCACAATAGATTAGCAATTACAAGATCAAGATCAGATGCTCACTATCATCAAAGACCAATTAAAGCACATGCAAATCATTATGACACAGAAGGTTGATAGAAGGAGACGAGATGTTCAATTTATGGAAGGGAACCTTGTCAACTTTTGCCTAAGACCATTCAAGATGAAATTTGATGTGGGACTGAGACGAGGATAAAGACTATCCAAAATGTTTCTTACTCTTTAGGAAATCTAAGAAGTGGTTAGAAATTAGACTTGGATAGAATTGAAAAGAGAAGATTTAAGAGGAGATTAATCTTAGAATTCAGATGAGAGGATCATTTAATTATCTTTTAAGAGGGCTAATTCAAGAAATCAGAGATACTTAGAACCATAGGGAGTGGCTATCCTATGGATGACAAACTCCTAAGATCAACGACTTTTCGAATAGACCAAATTTCACGAATAGGAGAGGGCTCAACGTATCTTAGTCAATGGAAGACTTTGAAGATCCTTGGAATTGGAAGAAGCACGATTTTTAAAGTGGCAACAGTCGGAGAGAGAAAATGGCGTGAATAAATAAAGGAGGAATTTGGAGAGCATGGGGTATGAATGGATAAATAATAAATAAAGGGCCGGAAAGAGAAAGGGATAAAATGAGAAGGCCTCAACGGAAGTGAGAGGGAGAGACGGAAGATAGAGAGGGAGATGAGGCGAGAGAGAGAAGAACGAACGAGAGCGACAATGAACGAGAAAGGGAGAGACGGAAAATAGAGAGGGAGAGGAGGCGAGGGAGAGAACGAACGAGAGAGAAAGGGAGAGAAAGGCAAGATGATTATTCCAATTCCAAAAGAGTTGTCTTTTCATTGCATTCCATCTTCAATTTACAGGAGACGAGATGAATGAGAGATAAGGTAATTGGGCGGTTAGAGAAAGGCAAGATGGTGTCTCTTAGAAGGTCACGCCTTATCCTTCTCCTATGGACCCATTGGTTGATGGGCCTTCCTCCATGGGCTCCTCTTCTTCTTCTTCTTCTTGGGCCCATTGAATAGGGCGAATCCTCTTGTTGATCCCTATGGATCCATGGGATGTCAACCCAAAGTTCCACTTAGGATATAGCAATGGAGGTAGCCTCCAACTGACTTTTCCCATACGAAGTTGGAGATTAGGGTTGACCTTAATCCCAGCTGATCTTCTTGGGAGTTGACTTCTTGTTGTTGGTGGAGGCCCCACTTGAAGTTGACCTTGCTCTTGAGTTGACTTCAGTACATCATCTTGAGAATTAGATAATAGTCATCAGTAGATCTGGTGGATGATTATTATCTAATTCTCATTAGATAGCTGATAGCTCGTAAGAATGTTCCAAAACAGACCAGTCACCTTACAATAATGTTGTAGATTTATTGACAAGGTTCCAAATTTGAGCATCATTGTGTTACTTGGTGTGACTCTCCTTTGCAGAGTCAAAAGCTATTCCAGAATCACATTCTCATTCCCAGTAATTTAGCTCCCATGCTGACGGGTGATATCGATGATGGCTCTTTCTGTGGCTTTTCCCACCGGAAAGAATAACTGCTGTTCCTATAATCCTTTCTGTAACGTGAAAATATGGAACCATTGAATTATTTCGTTTGCGTGGACTCCCAAAGTCAATCATCCATATCACGTTATCTGGCGGCGGACGACGTGAGTTGAAATGTCCATCACAGGAAGGTGTCGTAGCATGTCTCTACTGGATCACGACAGATCAGGGGACCAGTGGGAAAACTACAGATCGTCTTTTTCCTTTCTCCGTCCCTTCCTCGCCTCCCTGCGATGCCAGTCGCCATTGCCCTCCCCAGAAGACAAGTCTTCCCCCCCGGTATTTCCAGGAAGCGTCAATCTTCCCCCCCCGTATTTGCCCTCCCCTCATCTGATTCCACAGACGTCTTCTTCTGCTCCTCCTCCATGTAGGGCGTCGCTCTGGGCTCGAACTCCCTCCTGCCCTCGTTTGCTGGGTCATCGTCATTGTATTTCTCAGGAAATCCGAAGTCCAGTGGAGGAGGACGTCCATGGGGAGAGAGTCATGCCCCCCTTCTGCTCCTTTGGTGTCTTCTTACAGACCTTGATGGCCATTAGACCATCACTCCCGTCCGAAGCCCTGCTGCTTTCCGTCGCCCATTAGACTATCACCCCCGTTTCCGCTCTTCGTCACCTCCGACGACTTTGCTTGGCACGGGCTGACCGGCTCTGCCTGATCCTTGGCTGGTACTGGGTCACTGTCGTTGACCCGGCCTGCCAGTCAACCGCTGAGGTGGTTGGGTCCTATCACGGACGATCTGTTCCCACGTGGAGGAAAGCTGGCGGCTGTGGTCTCAACAGGGACACAGTCTAGATGCTCTCTCTACGCAACTGTGAAGCTGTCAAAGCATTTTCATACATGGAGAGCGAGTCAGCTTTCTGCTTGATGGGTGTTTGCCATAATGATTACATACAAAAAACTCACCGTGGACCCTGGAAAGTTTGATGCTTTACTGGAGTTTCTGTTCTTGGCCGGTGGTATTGTGTGATTTGTATCGGCGTTCATGTTAGGAATGGAGAGCTTGGGATGAGCCTCTTCCAACAACACATCTCCGATGTCTTCAAGAACCTCCACTGTTACAGCTAAATCGTTTCTGCCTACACGAGATCGCGACGTCCTGGAGGAGGTATGCAGACCGCAGGAAGATCAGCGGCGGCTGCTGGGTTCCTCGGCGGCGGCGGAGGAAGAGATCGATCCGTGGCGTCTGTTAGCGTGCGCGCTGTCTTTTCAATATCTTCCTGAGAATCCATTATACGAGGAAGGTCATTCCCACAATACCTGTTTACTTTAGAAGCAAATGGCCACTTCGGTCTGTCGGTATTTCTGATAATGCATTCTGATTCCTAGGAATCTACGTCCCATGCTGATCAGTGACATCCACGACGGCTCTTTCCATGGCCTTTCCCCTCGGAAAGAATAACCTCTATTCCTGTAATTCATTTCATCATGTCGCCGTGTGGAAGCATTGACTACTTTTGTTCGCGAGGACTACTGGATCCAGATGACTTTATCTGGCCGCCCATCACGCTTCCTCGAAATGTCCATTACGCAAAGGGGTCGTGGCATGTATCTATTGGATACAGCAGAGGACGGGACCCACTAGTATAGCTAGATATCGTCTTCTTCCTCCCTCCTGCCCTTCCTCACCTCCCCGCTACGCCAGTAGCCAGTGGCCTCCGCAGAGGTCAAGTCTTCCCCCAACATTTCCAGGAAGCGTCGATCTTTGACTCTTCCCATGACCCCCTCATCCGATTCCACAGACGCCTCGCTGGTGCGCCTTCTTATGCTCCTCCTCTATGCAGGGGGCCGCTATCGACTCGAAGCCCCTCCTGCTCTCGTCTCTGGGCCATCGTCTTTCTCGGGGAATCCGAAGCCCAGTTTTGGAGGGGGATGTCCCGCGGGGAGAGGGACACAGTCCCTATCCTCTCTGACACTGGCCCACCAGGTTCCTCCACTGAACGGGAAGTGGAGCTCCGCAGAGTCGCGCTGCGGAGCACCTCCATGTTATGGCCTTCCCCCAGCACCAGCACCGGGCCCGGCGCCGCCAAGGGTATGTTCCACACGGAGCCGCTGAAGAGGAGGCCCCCCCGGCCCCAATTTTCTGCGCCCAGGAGCGGGCCGCTGTACGGGGGCACGAACCGGGGGACGACGACGCCGCCGTCGGCCCCCCCTCCGCCGCCGGAGGAGCCGCCCAGCAAACCCGACACAGTTGTGGCGCCGGAGGGCGGCGCCGGCGGGTTGGCGGATGAAGGCGGCGGTCACCACTGGAAGAAGGATCCTCTAATGAACTCGGGGCAGTTGGGCATGTGCAATGATCCCTACTGCACCACCTGTCCGGGGGCATATCGAGCATCGGTGGTCTTCCCCATGAGGCAAGGTGCGATCTTATATCCTTCGGCGGGGGAGGAAGAATCTGATTTTCCGGGTAATGAACGTTCCCATCCTTCAACTGAGAGTCACCTCATTTTCTTGTGTATCGATTTTAAAGAGATCCCGTTTCATGTGTTATGCTCAAAATCATGACAAGATTCACGCGGATGCTACAGGACGTGGAAGGAAACGATTCCAGTTTCTGAGTTCAAAGTTCATAATGAATCCACACAACGAGCACGTCCAACGTTGGAACAAATTCTTCGTGATATCTTGCCTTGTGGCCGTCTTCATCGACCCTTTGTTCTTCTTCATTCTCTCTGTGAATGAGGTAATTTTCTTTTCATCTTTCTTCTCTCAGTATGCAATTATGAAGGTGGTCGGAGCATTTTCATACATGGAGAACTAGGCGAGGGAAGTTCATAACTCTTCCTGCTTGATTATATAAATAAACTCACAGTGAACTTGCGCAAAGTTTGATACTTTACTGGAGTTCCTGTTCTTGGCCGGTGGTGTTGTGTGATTTATGGCGGCATTCATGTTAGCAATGAAGAGCTTGGGACACCATTCATGTCCACTCTTAATGTGGACTAGTAGCTTGAAGTGTTTCATAATCTAAGTCGTCCATTTTTCAATGGCACTCTTACTTCCAGCACCAGAACTCCTCTCTGGTTTGGGTGATATCTAGCCTTCTTACATTTCACCTGTATTCCAATCTTCTTTTTAGGGGAATTTCTCAATTGGGTGATGCCTCTGAATCTGTCAGGGCCCGTTCCATTGTGGTCTCTTTGTTTAGTCTAATAATAATAATAATAATAATTGGTTCAAAGGGTGTTAAAAGCTGTCTGTAAACTGGGAAATTTTAATAAATTCAAAGGTAAAAAACGGATAAATGAAAAATCGCATATACTTTGATAATCATTGAATGTTGCACTACCTCATGGGGACTTCTTGTCAACCAAGTTTCCTCGGTACCAATTGGCTTGAGCCGCATACATTTCACTGTGTAATGAGTCTCTGCAACTTGATTAACCTGTTCATACAGAGAAATAAAAAGGCTACCATTTTTTTTATTGTTATAGAAAAGATAAATTTGTCTGTATTTTTTTTAAAGAGAGTATACCCGTATGAACAAGATGTCCGATGGTTTTGCTAACAAGGTATTGAGCGTGAAATTTTTTTAGTTTCCATTGAGCCCGTTTTATAGGAAGGTGTGGCATCTTTGCTCCTGTATTGTCTTTGGAGCAAGGTATTGAAAACTATACAGTGATGCAAATTCCAAGAGGATATAAAATGGGAAAAAAATCTCTACTTATTATTCACATCATAGATGCCTACTAGCTATGTACAAAGGTCATGAAATAAGGAAAATATCTGAAAAAATAAGAAATTGAGCAGCTAAGAGCCAAACTCCTAACTATATGTTCTTTCCAACAGTTCCCCTCAAGTTGGTGATTAGATATTCTCCATTACCAGTTTGGATACAATATCTGGAAACACTGGACTGACTACTAAATATCTTTGCAAGTACACTTGCAAGGTGGCCATTTGTTGAAACATATAGTGTATCTCTCTCTAATTTTTTTTTGATGAGTTGTCTGTCAATCTTGATGTTCTTCGTTCAATCATGTTGTATGTGCTGCATACTTGTCACAATAGAGTCTGATCGATCTATCGCACTTTATCATCAAGTCTTTCTAGGTGATCTTCATCCAAGGTAGATCATGCGGAACTTGAGCCATTGCTCAAAATTCAGATGTTGCACTTGACTGTGCTACCATATTCTGTCCTTTGTTACTCCACATCACGAGATTGCCACAAAAAAAGGTGCAATATCCAGAGGTTGATTCTTGTCAACCACTGAACATAAGACCTTTTTTTGTTATCCCTTTAAGATATTGTAGCACTTAGGGAGCTGCCTGTATATGGACTTCCTTTGGACTGTGCATGAACTAACTAGTAACACTTACTGCATAGGCTGTATTCTTAATCGTTCTTTTGGTTGATGATTTAACGCTTCTTTGTGTTTACTTCCTCAGTTTCTCTGGGATATTACCTTCGTTTCTGACCTTTATTTTGTATTTTAACAGGATTATAAGTGTATTTTCTACGATTGGTCTTTTGCAATAGGAATTGCGGTTGTTAGAACTGTAACAGACATTGTTTTCCTGCTACACATTCTTCTTCAGGTAAGCCGAGGCACTTTCCACACCCAGTCGGTTTCTATTTTTTCTGGCTTATGATCGACTATAGACATTTTTTTCATCCCTTTAATTGGAAATCAATGCATTTCATTTTGTAGTTTGTATCATAAGAACAACAGGTTATGGTCAAGATCACTCATGTCACTTTGTTCTGGGTCATCTAGTAGATATGTTAGCATCTTCAAATTTGTTAGTTATGGTCTTTTATTCTTATTAACTTTAGAAAATAGTGTTCTCCCATTGTAATTTTTTTCTCTGGAACTCGGCTGATCTAAATAAAGGACTTTCTTTTTTTTCATGTGTGATATGTGGTCAAGAAACTTCTATGATCTTTCGTCCAAAAATTTTGCATTAGCATGTTGGTAAAAAGGACCTCATTCTTGTTATATTTAAAGTTGTAGCTCAAATGACAAAAAGTTTGAAGAGATAATGGTCTTCCTAACTAATTTCTTTGATTTAATAAGTTTTGATGTTGTACTCAGCACAAGTCACTGTTGTAACAAAAGTTCTTCACGGGCACATGGATGATGCATCTCTGAAACGTTGTTTGCAGTTCAGGCTGGCATACGTAGCTCCCGAATCAAGAGTTTCTGGAACTGGGGACTTTGTTGTTGAACCAAAAAAAATTGCTGTTCATTATCTTCGTGGTTACTTCCTCCCTGATTTGTTTGCTGCTCTACCACTTCCCCAGGTACTATTTTCGATTTCAATTATCTAACCATTTATTTATAATGTTTTTCTGGATTTCTTTCATTTATTATGCACAAGGTCCTATCCTATGATGCCTCTAACCATGAGTTTCTTTCTGTTTTTCCATTAGGCAGAGTTAAAGCTTGTTTTTCCTGTTTTAGAAGGAATTTTATTTCCAAAGGTCATATAGGCAGATCTAAAATCTTCCTAGGATAGAATTCATAGTTGGCAGATTGTAAAATTTAGATGGCCATAATTGCCCTTTCTCCATGCAGTCTTTATTTGTGTCACCAATAGACTTAGAATTTTAATTGTAGTCTTCTCCTTTTCTCCTTGAGGTTTCCACGTGCGAAGTTTTAATATGCATGTAAATATCTTCCCATAGTTGAATATTGTGAAGATTAGATTTTGATTTTATTCTTCTTTTCTTATAAGTGAATCCTTATTATTTTCGATCTCTCCCGTAAATCAATAAATTAATGTAAAAAAAGGAATAATAATCTCCAGTGCAAACTGGGATGGTGGGAGGAGAGAGAGGGAGGTAAGGAGGGAGAAGGGAATCTGGAACTAGACCTATCCTGGATGCTCCAGTTGCTCTAGTCTTGGCTATTAAATCTAGTTATTCTATACAGATCCAGATGGAGATGCTGGGGTATGGGCAGACCAAGGGAATTGGCACAAAATGGATTTAAGGTGGATAACTCATCGCCACAGGATGGGGGAGTAGTAGATGAGGAGATAATGAAGTTACAATGGAACAAGTAGATGAATTATTAGCATTTATGCGAGCAAAAACCAGTTCATATTTAACCATAGAAAATTGTGCTCATTTTTCTTCATGAAGGTCATCATATTGCTGGTTATGCCAACGTACTGGGGGTCATCAGCTGCTAATTATGCCAAAAATATGCTGCGGGCCACAGTTCTTCTTCAATATGTACCGAGGATCACGAGAGTTTTACCTTTGATTGCTGGAGGATATTCAACTGCATTCATTTTTGAGTCTGCGTGGTCAAATTTCGTTATTAATCTTCTAATGTTCGTGTTAGCTGGACATGTTATGGGTTCGTGCTGGTACCTCTTTGGCTTACAGGTATGCAACAATGATATAGCCAGTTGTAGCTGCTTTTATGGATATTCATAATGTTCTTTCCCTTGAAACATTCTCTTGTTGAACTTTGTTTCACATTCCGTCCTGTTGTTTTGATTTATGACTTTGAATGGTTGGCTTTCCAAGCGGTAAATTTATGACTTTCGCATTTATCCTAAGGACATTGTCGAAGAGTGGTTTATAATTCAATATTATGTAACTCCTGAAAATTATCTAGGCGGTGTATGATCTATACTTGTTCATGAAAAAGACTCAGTTTTTCTTATACCAAATCCTGTTTATTTATTTTGTTAAGATTCATCTGTATAGTTGACATTGTAAATCGTGGACTTGTCTGGACTCGTGCATGTGCATTTGAGTTGAACAAGTAGAAAGGATCAGAAAGGCTCACTTACTGCTTGTATCAGAGATGCGGTGATAATCTTGCTGGATGATGGTTTGAAAGGAACTCTTCCGGGATTGGGCTATGTTTTTGATTGGGCTATTTTCTGATTTTATCAAGGTGGATGATGAACCCGTGCATACTGAACGTGGCGCAGACAGTTAACACATCAAAAGCTTATCCACATTTTTTTTTTCTTTCACTACTAAATTTTGCTTTTCAAATATTGAAGATTTGAAATTACCAAAATTCTTACTGGCAACTGAATAATGGGGCATGGCTTGATGATGATGGTGATGTTGAACAAGTTAGTGTGGAGTTACTTGACTAAATGATAATGATTCCGGTAATTATTGCGACATCTATAAAACACAGAAGTAGCTAGTTTTGGCATGTCGATCTTAAGCATTTTAATTAGCATCTCCAGTCTTTTTGCACGATTTTCTTGTGATCACAAAATATAAATGCGCACGTCATTAAGTCATAGTTCCTCATAATTATCTGATCCTTTGCATACGTATGTGATATCTTATGCTCTATAACCACAGCATGATGATTACATAATCTCATGCTTGGAGCATACTACTTATTTAAATTTTTCCTTTTTCTTCTGGCCTGCAGCGGGTAAATCGATGTTTACAAGAAGCCTGCTTGGCTTCTAAAATAACAAACTGTAAAGTGTTCTTGGATTGTGGACGTGGGCCAAAATATCATAATTTTACTGGTAATCCTGACTGGGAAATCTGGAACAAAGATGCTGAAGCTTCATCGTGTTTGTCTAAGAGTAACACCTACAGTTATGGCATTTATCAGCAAGCTTCTATCATCACAAAACGAGATAGTTTCATCGTCCGATACATTTATTCATTATTTTGGGGATTTCAGGTACTGTTTTACCCTTTCATTTGGCATAGTATACGACTGCTTTCAGCACTCTGTGAGTTATTGTCCATATAATGTATAACAAGGCGTATCCCATGAAATATGGGATAGAGTGGAATTTTACCATTCACTGTGTTGAGCAGCTATCTGTTTCCTCATTTTTTTTTATTTGAGTATAGTTGTATCCAAATGTATATTATGATGTTGCTCTCTTTTTGTACAGATTCGCTTTCCTTAGTTTGTTTATTGTTAAGTCTCTGTAAAGGGGCTCTGAAATGCCCCAGGGGCCGAGCATTACAATTTATTCATGTTCTTCTGTTCTCTTCTCCTCCTCTCTCGTCTCATATTGTCAGTGAATATATAAGATGAGGACGATGATAGTGAAGAGTGATGTTCTAACCTCAGAACAGAAGTTGAAATAGTGCCAGCAGATAGCTAAGTGTTGCAATAGAAGTTGAATTACCATTGTGGTGATTTTGGAGGAGCATCTTTTTACTCTAATCCTGTCTCTGTAACATATACCAGTTAGAGTGTTTGGACTTGTGTCTTTCTATTGCTGGTTCATGTGGTCAATGTGATTCTTATAATGTGGTCATTGGCGTGTACGTTGATGGATGTTGAAAAGAATTCAGTCAATGCCGTGTAAACATGGGAGTCAATCCCCGACTCTCTCTAGCTTTGTCCTGTTCATTAATTCGGGAGCACTCTCTCTCGTCAAACAATGTGAGCATCAAAAGTGGAGTGCAAGTTTTGAAGGCCATAGTTGACAGAGCGATCAAATAAATCGTTTTTATAGGCTGCCATCCGTTCAATGTTTTGCTCCCATCATCTGTCAGAGGTACCGTTGACTGAGTTAGTTGGGTGCGAGACTGATGTGATGGGGCATTCGTCTGTTTTGCTCTGCTTTGAGAATTTTGGGACTAGATTTCTAGTCCTGGCTTGAGTTTCAGAGCCTAGCGCAGACGCCAATTCTTTATTATGAGGCATCACTTGTTGATCAGTGGAGGAAAACTTGTATTTTTCGAGTGGTATCATTCATTTGATATGACATGGCATATCCTATTGGTGTTTGTCCTCTTAGGTGGTCTGAATAAGTTTTAAAATAGTTTGACTGCTTTTAATCTAACTTGATTGGCATACTGGAACCCTTATTTGATTCACATCAGGTAGTTATCCTCTAAACTACTAAGCTAAAGAATATAGCATTTAAATTTAAAACTGACTTAAGAGGATTTCGTAAATGAGCATGTGCACTTGTAGAACTTTTTGATGTCTTTCTTTTAATTAGGATTAAATATTGATGATTTCTACTATTAAAATAAATACATATAAATATCAAATTACATTAGGTATCAGGTCAGTGTGCTTTCCTGGAAGCCGTTAGAAAATATTAAGCTCAGGTACCTGGTTCACTGGACCATTATCTGAAAGTCTTTTTTTTTTGTATGTCTTCTTTTTTGCAAGAGTTTCCATATAAGTACATTTTTTAGTTCTAGATGTTAGTCTTAACAAGGTTTAGGCCTGCTTATCTTAATCTTGACCCTCGATTTTTTTCTTCATCACTTTTTAGTATCTCATGAAATCACTCGCTCACATTAGATTTTGATGCTTTACTGCAGCAAATCAGTACCCTCGCTGGAAACCAAGTTCCTAGTGATTTTGTGGGGGAAGTACTGTTTACAATGGGAATCATCGGGCTTGGGTTGTTACTTTTTGCCCTACTCATCGGAAATATGCAAAATTTCCTCCAATCACTTGGAAAGAGGTGAACAAATTATCTGTTTTGGCCTTCTATCCTACAACTTCTCTGTGAACAAATTTTGCTATGTTCAAAATGTTTTCCAACAATGTCGAACCTGAAGTCAATATTGACAATAAGTTACTGTTTCGTTCAAATCTCAGATTTCTTCTAATCAGACGATCAATTATTATGTTTTTAATGCGACGAGTCCTTTATTTTTTCAATGATTTGGAATAATTTTCTTCTTTTTTATAAAAAAAAAATAGCACTCTATGGGCCATCCAAGTGCAATGATCGTTGTCTATATTTTGTTTGCATGAAATACTATGATTCTTGATGTTACCAATGACTCGGAAGTTGTTACTCTTTCTAGTACCCAGAATTCATGTGCTTAATGCCTGGTGAAGAAATTATCTTAAAATTACCCTGGAAAGGTGCGTCCCATGAGAGAACCCCACAGACGAATCAGATGAACCACTAGATAATCTGAGTAGGGCTACCCATGTGGCCCTACAAAGAGGCACTCACCAGTAACCTCCCAAGACAATTTGCAGTCTCTGTAGGGGTCGTCACCAGTAGCTCATCAGCTGGTCAGCACGGTGATTCCAAACGAACTCAAGGCAGCCACACGCTATCTATCAGGCCGCTATTGGTCAGTAAGGGTTGGTGTGAGGTGGTAAACTGAAGGGATTCCCACCAGTCACCACCTGGCATTGACTCCTAGAAAGTATCCTCCTCCGTATGGGAAGATAAAGCCTAAACGTCCTAAGATCCCTATGAATAGAGAGGGGACAGAAAATATTGAAAATGACCTGGGGATTTAGGAATGTATGAGAGCTGAAGTCCTTATAGACGTCCATGTAAGAAAAGGAGAGAAGAAAGAAGACCACGTCTAGAAATGTAAAAACTAGGTGCCGGCCTTTGTTATTTTACTTTTTCCTGACCCATGGGTAGTACCGTTTGGACTTGGAAGCATGTTGATTTAATAAGTCTAGTTGTGATCTTGTTCTTCCCTTTATCTGTGCATTATTTACCCAGAATCACGAGTGAACATCCTGGTAGAATTTAGTTTCCAGAATTCTCAAGTTCTCTGGGGATTTGAGCGACTCAGCCAAGCCCTGGATCATGCATATTTTGGTCACTTTCTGTAGCAGGTTTGATTACTGCGACATTACTTTGAGGATATTTTTTCGTCAAGTGAGAATTTTATATGATTGACAACGTGGTTGTTTTCTTATAGGACTCTAGAGATGCAACTAAGAAGGCATGATGTTGGGCAATGGATGTCCCATCGCCACCTTCCTAGACACCTGCAGAGGTACACCGCAACAAGCTTTATTGTTTTAAAGTTCATATGTTCACCAGTGATTCTTTATTTTATGGTACGTGAAAATAGTGAAATCTCAGTTTGCATATTGATTCTATGCCTAAATTTCTTTGGCGTTCGCAAATGATAAGGTAAATAACTAACTCTGTTTCATAGAACAGCCATGGAAGAAGAGGCTGTGGGTATGAAGTGTGAAGGCTGTCTAGCTGTAGATAAGCAAGAGAAAGATGGAAAGAGACTAATAAGGAAACTGTGAAGGCAATTAACTCTCACGAAAAGCTTCAACATTTTGGCTTTTGATATAATTCTCTGCCTCTTAGAAATCGATTTGGCTTAAATGAGTTTCTATTAAGGAATAAGTGACATTCAGAGCATTTTGAAAACCTCTCAGTTTACAGTTTCCATCATTTGACATGAAAAGGAAGATCCAGAGGAAAGAAAGCAACTTTATTTTTTTCTTGACTGTTTCCTATATCTGCTCTATAAGAACCAATTTGTATATCTTGTGTGATAGTGACCCGAACTCTTTAAAGAACAAATAATGGTTATATCTTGGGTTTTCTCTTTTCTTTGTCCGAGGAGCTGTTCTTTTTACTTGACGGTTTATATAATAGTGACATGCCGCCTTAAAAATTTATATATATTATTATGCTATTTATTTAGATATCAGTCATTTTGGCTTTTTTTTTTCTTTTTTTTATAACTCGTTCTCCTTTGACTGCTTGATAATATAGTCAAGTAAAGAAAGCCGAGAAATTTAGTTGGGCTGCCACTCGTGGTGTGAATGAAGAGGAGCTCCTGAAGAATTTGCCAGAGGATCTGCAGCGTGATATCCGACGCCATCTTTTTGGATTTCTAAAGGAGGTAAGCTCCAATGAGAATGGTTTTTTTAGTTTACTAGCAGCTGATTTGCGAGTGTCAAGCTACATCATCAGCTTCTCTGCACCCACTTTAGGAAACATGAAGAATCACCAACCAAAACCAGAATACACCATTTCAGCAAGCTCAAAATGTCTATCTATTCTCCTTGTTATAAAAGACACCAGTTACATGATGCTGCTTGTAAACTCCTGTTTTTTGACTTTCTATTATTTATTTATTTTTCTTCCTTGCTCGAGGAACTAATTTCACCTGGGTTGCAGGTTAGGATATTTAGCCTAATGGATGAACCCATCCTAGATGCTTTTCGTGGGATATTGAGACAAGAATTATACATGGACAAAAGCTATGTTCAGAACAAAGGTGGGCCAATTGGGAAGATGGTGTTCATAGTGCGAGGTCAAATGGAGAGTATTGGGTCCGACGGAAATCCATCCCTTCTGCGTGAGGGTGATGTCTGTGGCGAAGAACTCCTCGCTTGGCATCTTGAAAACGTCTCTGTAAAGAAAGGTGGGCTTTCTAATCTGGACTTCCCTCATCGCATCCATAGAGCATGTAATTGGTTCCCTGTAGTCAGAGTCTTCTCCCTGATGTAATCAGATTATATATATATATATATATAATCCTTAGTTTTCCTTGAATATTACCATTCTCTTCACCCAATGGCCTCATTACAATGCATGAAAAAAATAAAATTAGTGTCCCAATCTTGGCCTTCCTCATCACATTCTTGGATGATATGATACACTGGTGCCCATATGAAATTACAGTAGAGACTGCCTCTCTATTGCCTGATGTAATAATTTTTAAAAATCAAAATATAGTGTTTTTATCTTAGTTGATTAATTACATCGAATGACTACTCTTTTCTTTTTGCCTAGAGACGGAGAAAATCCGAAGCCCCAAGCAGAGACTATTCTCCAACAGGGACGTCAGGTGCACCAGCAACGTCGAAGCCTTCATACTTCAATCCTCCGATCTGGTGGATGTCATCATAAACTTTGAAAGGTTCTTGCGGAACCCACGTGTTCAAGGAGCCATCAGGTGAGTCAAACCCTAGTTCTTCTGCTTCATATATGAACTCTCAGTACAAAATCATATTCTTCTTAAGTAGCATTGAAAGCCTAAGTCATATGTATAGATATGACTTAGGTTTTCCATTTTGGGTCATAGATGACTGCAATCCCTTGACCACCAACACCTGGGCATCCAACTACTTGCCTAGCTCATCTTCTGGCAATAAAGAGCCTGCTACTCTATGAATTTTCATAGATATATAGATATATATCATATTTATTTATAATTATATATCTCTAGGCTAGGTGGGCCATCAATGGAAGACATGGTTATTTTTCAACACACCAGTTTTTCAACTCATGGTCTTAGGAACCTCTCTCTCTCTCTCTCTCTCTCTCCAAAGATGGTGAGCATGAACAGAAAAGATCTGGTTTGACTTACTATATTCCACCACCACCACCATCTAACAGGTATGATTCGACCTATTGGAGGACCAAAGCAGCAACACACATCCAGGTGGTTTGGAAGTACCACAGGTGGCAGCGCATGCGCAAAGCCAAAGCCCACAACCAGGGTAGACATCCCCATGGACGCCGCCTTCCTCCTCGGCACTGAGAGAGGGTTCATTACCATAACTGGGCTTACCCAAAGGTCAGGCGTGGTCATGTTATGTTTTACTATTAGTAGCTCCGAAGGAGTTGACTTTTGTTGATGGTTTTGTGATTTTTTAATTGTGATTTTTGTCATTTTTAATCCCCTAATAAATTATTTTTATGGGTGTTTCTGTAATTTTTTAAATCTGTTTTTGCTAGATTTATGAGCTTTTCTTGACCCTCTTTTAGATTTGAACTCGGAAAAAAATGAATTGGGCCTAGCTTGGGGAATAGTCCGGCCCATTAACAACGCTGACCACTCAGACCTCGGCTAATTGGGAGTCTTATTGGGCATAGACGATCCGACCCGATAGAACCGATAAGCTCCTCGGGTCGTCCCCCCCATGGGAGCAGCATCGTGGGGGCTTCTTGGATGCCTATAAACATGCTCTTCCTGCCAGCGCGGTAAAGGCCTCGAACGACTCAAGAAACCCTGCTTCCTCCCTGCTCCACGGGGGAAGTAGCGGAGCGATCGGAGACGGTGGCGTAGGGTTGATGGACGACGGCGAGTCGCTTCTGCGCTCCGATTGCCGCTGGCGGAGGGCTGGCGGCGAGACTGAGGAGACGAACCATTTCGCCGCCGGCGCGATCTCTTCCACGGCAGGTCCCCGGGAGGGGACGATGATCGTCGACGCCCACGGCCTCCGGGGCGGCGGCGGCGGCCTGTTCGGCTGCAATGTTTGCTTGGAGATGGCAAAAGACCCGGTGGTGACCGACTGCGGCCACCTCTTCTGCTGGCCGTGCCTCTACCAGTGGATCTGCCGCAACTCCTCTTGCCGGGAATGCCCGGTCTGCAAGTCGCCGGTGGATATCGAGCCGGGCGGCGCCACAGTGACCCCGATCTACGGATGCTCGGAGGCTGGTAACACCGGCGGCGATCCGGAGTTGCCATGTAGACCGCGAGGGAGGCAGAGCCGCCGCAGCCTCGGGGGCGCAGGGATAATGGAGTTGGTCGAGGAGATCTCGCAGCGCGCAGGGACGACCATCCACCGCGCGCAGATGCCGTTGATCAACCGGACGAGAGGGACGATGGACAGGTTGCGCGCTAATCTCAGTTCCATGGAGGGAATCGTCTGGGAGGATTTCCTCTATACGCCCGAAGACGGATCGAACGTGGCCGGGGTGCTTTTCGGGCGGGTGACTTTGGCTCCAAGGGGCCGCAACGTTGTCGTTGACCGGGGACCCAGAAGAAGAGGGGGCGACTACAATCCTCGCAGTCGGAGCGAGGGTGACGACGGAGTCTACCGGAACACGAGGAGGAGGAGGTTGGAGAGGGAACCAGAATAATTTTCTTCATGCCCATCCGTTCAGCTTATCGTGGAAAAATCGTTTGGAGAGACGAAATTCTTTCTTTTTTTTCCGGCTGAGACCGATGGAGAATAAGAAATAGAGATGATCTGGGATTGTTTCTTTTACAGAAATATGATCCTTTCTCTACCAATTTTGACTCACCATTTAGTTTTCTATAATTTTTTATTTTTACTTTACCTATGATCCTGTAAATCATGCTTAAGGGCATCATTTGTCGTCTCTCTCCTAAGGTACCCCATACTCAATGTAGACACATATGTAAATTATATAATATCAGACTATCATTAAGGTAATCTTTACCGAAATTATTTATTAAAGATGAATAAGTGATTATAAAATCTCTCATAATTATGAAGTCAAATGTGTATAGAGACTAAGTCATATTTTAATTTTATGATAGGCAAAATTAGAAAATGACATCAAGAGGCAAATCAACTCTTACTTATCAGTAAGGGGTCATGTTTTTGAATCATATGCATTGTTAGAGCTGCTCTCGAGATATCCTATCACTCTCAAAGAAAAAGTTATAAAATTCTGACAACTACGGTGTGTTGATCCAAAAGGTCCAAAACCCTAGGTTTAGATCAGAATGGTTTTTATTATTATTATTCACTCTCATTTTCATTATCATTTTCTGATATTCAACACTAAGTCCCTTTGTTTAATTTTATGCATCAAGTGGTAATAGAGTTTGATGTGTTGAGTCTTTGGAGAATGATATGGTGTGCATACTATGTTCTTTCTCTGAACATCATATATGATCTATGAGAATGAGAGTGAACGATAGATCCAGTCATATGCATATTATCATGAGGTGTATTCAAATAGGCTATAGATCACATAGGCATCTGCAATGGCAAACCATTAGGTTACCATAAATGAGTTATTGGGTTGTTAGTCATGTAAATAGGCTCATTGACTCTTGAGCCATTGATCCCTCTTTTTTTCCCTAGGAACATTTGTTTCCACACACCTCTCTCTCTCTTTTTTTTCTAAAGGAAGCTTTCCATTCGTTCGTAAACTAATAGGCAATCTACCATATCATAAAATCTCTAATAAGAAACTTTGAAAATTGTAGATTTTAATTTTATTTTTGAAGATGAATATGTTCTTATTCCTCTTGTTACTATTGACAATGATCTGAAGAAAATCTTATTTGACATTATTTAAGAAGCAATATTATATCAAAATTATATTTTTATACCTCTTATTTCAAAGAATAAACTCAAAAAATATAAGAACTAGTGCCATTAAGAAGATATATTATAGAAATAAAATGTGTGTTTTGAGATAATACATACCATATTTCTTTGAGAATGTGAGGTTTGCATCAAAATGACATACTAATATATATCATAATAACATTTTAATTCTCATAAGTACATATATGCAATAGATGAATAGATTAGATCAATGAAGGACAATGAGTTTTGGGATCTCATCTCATTACTTGAAGGTTCAAAACCCATTTTTAATAAATGTACATTTAAAATAAAAAAGGATTGAAAGGTAATGTGGAGAGATATAAAATATTTCTTATCACTAGGAGATTTATTCAAAAAAAAGTCATAGAATAAAGAAATTTTCTTTGTAATTTTGTCAAAAATATTTTTTTAGAATAATAATGACACTTGTGATACAATCTGATTTTAAGTTACATTAGATGAGTATAAAGATTTTATTTCTTAATAGTTTGTATTTTGATACTCATATAGTTATAGACACAATCTTCACTTATTTTCTACAAAAATAATGTTTATGAAACACTTTAAATGTATTCGATCAATCTCTATTGAGAATTAAGAGGGCCAAATAGAAATGTATATAGTGAATCATATTATATGTGATTTTCGTACTACACATCTATACTTAATTTATGTCATTAATTATATCAATATGAGTGATTAATGTTTAGTTTAATTATACACAAATGTGACAAAAGTCTTTTTAGTCTTATATTAGTAAGATGATGTATGAGATTGCTAGAGATGCCTTAAGTATTGGTAGTAGTTCATTGACCTCATAAGATCATAACATATAAATCATTTGATTTATACATGTGTATCATCATAAAGATAATTAGTTTTTATCTCAATGTAAACCTATATATGAATTAAAGTGATATAGTTCTGACGATTATGATGAGTTGATTCAAAAGGACAAAAACCTTAGGTTTGAATTGAATTGAATTCAAGTACGTTTTCTATTCACTCTCATTTCCATTATCATTTAATTTTCCTTGTTAAGAAGCTCTTAGTGCTTTTGATCTTCAGCCCTCTTCTATATCTTTGGCATAACTTAGAGATTAATTTCAACTAGTTGCTACTAAATCAATGATCTTCATTTGCTAAGTATTCTCACATCTACATCTATGATTCACACCAAAATCTTAATTGTACCATGATTAGGGTAGCCTTAGATATGCATCACCAAGAAGCTCTCCCTGGTTCATTTTCTTTGAGAACCCAATGGAGGAAGGGCTTGTTAGGTAATATGCATGAATTAGCCTTTTAAATTCAAGATAAATTTGACAAAATATTTGGTGAGTCTATAGAAACTAGATCTATGAGATTCTAAAATTACATGTTTTCACAATATTTTTTCCTATAATTGGTTCCCACTAGAAATCCTATAGTGTGGTTAGAGTTTAGATAATGGTATCTAATAAATCTTTATTATCATGAGTTAATAATTAATTAATAATATATTTTAAGTCTTAAATTATGATAAATAGACCTATATTTATTTTAAATTATGAAAATAGTTTTTAGTGAATTAATATGATTTTTTGACTAATTATGTGATTTTATGTAAATTTTATATAATTAGTATAATTTTATTTTTAAGATAAATAAATAGAAATAAAATAAAATAAAAATAGAGAAAAAGGGAGACCCATTGGCCTATTGGGCCTATAAGCAAATCAAAAGCCTAGTTGAACAGAGCTATAAGCGAGAGGCTTAAACAACTAAGGATGGGTAAAAGTAGGTGAGATATGTGTGTCACTCTCACGTCATTAGTGGCCAGCCAAGCATGAGGTAAAGAGTGGTTGTATACATGTGTGTGAGAGAGAGAGTTATGATTATAAAATTTGTACTACAATATATTCATCTAATAACTCAAAAAATAATTGATGTGGGATTATACCACACAACTTTTTAGAAAATATTTTTCATAATTTTTAATATCTATAATATCTTTCATTTGTGAGAAAGAGATACCTTTATGACATCACCTTATAAAGGTATTCACATACTTTTTATTCTCTCTTATACATGTTGGCAATTAATGAGGGTTTAAATCTTAATAGAGTCAAAACTCATATTTTTATATCATTAAATTATGATTTTCTTATATATTAACAATGAATGATTAAGTCATCAGAATTACTCAATCATTAATAAAAATTTCGTCAACAAGATTCATAGAACATCATTATTAAAATTACGAAATAATTTTAAATAAAAATATTATAAATCTATCAAATAAATTATCTTTGATTGATCAACGAATTAACCATCATCAAGAAGAGAACGATATATTGAGAGATTTATTGCCACCTCATGAAAGTATATCAAAAGCAACAAATAGCCTCCTCTTGTTGTATGAACTTGAAGATGAAGTTTCTTAAGACACACCCTACCTCCATCCAACTTATCTATGTTAGGTGACAGCCGTTGGAGATTCACAAAGTTACTATTTTTTTATTCTACCAAGTGAGTTGTCGGAGATTATTCGAAGACCCACTTCATTAATTTCTAAACTTTACAAATATATTTAAAAACTACCCATGTCGTCTTTATCTAAAGAGATCCTTTGAGGCTATAAACATTATATGATAATCCTTCCAAACACTTAGAATTTTAATGCATCACTGACATTGTAACTTTTCTTTTACAATTTTTAACTAGTTTAAACTTCTATCATCATTTTCTAAACTTCGAAATGAGATCTGATGAATGCTCAAGTTGTCAATATACAAAGAGAGCCACTTTGAGGCCATAAAACATTGTTCAATAATCTTTCTGAACATATAGAATTATGACAATCACTATCATGAGGTCAAAGTTCTATCTTTCTTACTTTGAACTTAATTTTTACTTAATCTAATGATATTTCATGTGATTTAAAGTTTCAAAATCTTCTTCATTCAATTATGATTATATTAGCTTTTACATATCTTAATTTAACTAATTAAATTATTTGTAATCACTTACATAATAATTGTCAAGTGGATTTAAATTTTCACCAAATTTGTATTCATCAGGGTGTCGACATCATCCTAATGTCTGCACTATTATTTCTTTTTTTGTAAATTTTTAAATATATTTTATATTCACCATTTAGTCTAAAAATTATAAAAAATCATTTTCTTTTAAGAAAATTGTGAAATATTACATGATACAATTTTACATCCTATGATCAACTTAGGAATCACCTACTCTTTTTATACCCTTTTATCAAATTATTATTTATTTATTTGTTCTAAAATATTTTTAAAAAATCTAAAAATTAATATTTTCTAGTTATATATATTTAAAAATTGTGTGATTTATTATACAACAAATAAGTCACGTCAGTATCTCTAAGATTTTTCAAGTCATGAAGAGAGAGAGAAAATTAGAAAGAGAGAGAGAGAGAGAGAGAGAGAGAGAGAGAGAGAGAGAGAGAGAGAGAGAGGGTGGGTGGGCCTCTAATTGCCTACTATTTCACATTTAGACCTTATAAAAATATCTTAATAACTAAGAAAATAAAATGTTCATTATTTATTACATCTCGCTCAAAGTTTTATCTAATGTCTACTAGTGGATCATTTTACATTTTTCGAAAAAATGCGTAAAGGGTATCCTATCGGATCCTACGATGTCTACTGCTGGGGGCGTAAGTTCGGATCTTTTCAGGATTCTAGCCGAAACCCGAACTTGTCCGATTTTCTTTTTCTCTCGTCCACGGCCGGCCTTCGCTTTTGGATAAGCCGCTCTCTCTCTCTCTCCCCCCTCTCAGCGGGTCCCGCTACGTCGAAGAAGATAGAAAAGAAATCAACTTGAAAATATCAAGAGGGAAAATATCTCCCAGGGCCTGAAATATCAACGGAAGAAGGAAGAAGAAGAAGAGAGGGAGGAGGAAAAAGAAGATGACACTAACGGCTGCTCACGCTCCTCAGATCCTCCTCCATGGCGAGCTCCGTCAGAGGAAGCGGTGGAAAAGCTTCCGCCGCCCGAACGGCGGCGTTGGCGGTGGCGGCGGCGATGGTGACGGCGGCGGCAGAATACGGCGCGGCGGCGGCTTAGCGGCGGAACTGGAGAGGGGAGGGCGGCGGGGGGCGTTGGCGGCGTTCTGGGACTCGAAGCCCTCTGCGGTGGAGATGGAGCCCATCACCGACAACGAGCAGCTGGATCTCATCCTCAGCCAGGCTCAGGAGGTCTCCCAGCCCATCATCATCGAATGGTCCGCTCCTCTCGCTCTCTCTATCTCTCGCTGTCTCTCTCTCAATCTATCTATCTATCTATCTATCTATCTATCTATCTATCTATCTATCTTTCTCGCCCTCTCTCTCTCGCTCTCTCCACACTGAGTGAGCGAGGCCGGGTGATCGTCTTCTCATCCGGCGCACTTCTCTCTACCCCTCTCTCTTTCTCTCTCTCTCTCTCTCTCTCTCTCTCTCTCTCTCTCTCTCTCTCTCTCTCTCTCTCTCTCTCTCTCTCTCTCTCTCTCTCCCTCCCTCCCTCCCTCCGCGCTGTAAGCGAATCGGGTCATCCCCTTTCACCCGGCGCACCTCTCTCTCACTCTCACTCTCTCTCGCTCTCCCTCTCTCCACGCTAAGTGAGCCAGCCGGTCGTCGTCTTCTCATCCGGCGCAGTTCCTCCGGGGTCTCTCTCTCTTGCTATCTCTCTTCTCTCCCGGAGGAGGTGCTCAAGTAGAAGAATAATCAGCGAGGTCAAGGAACTCATTTATACTGCTCTGACGGTGTAGAATAGATATCCTGTGCCTCTGACGAGTGCGGTTTTAATTGGAGGGCTAGCTAAGTATCGCCTTATTCCACAGGATGGCGTCGTGGTGCCGCAAGTGCATCTACATCAAGCCCAAGCTGGAGAAACTGGCGGCCGACTATTCTGAGTGAGTCGCGTTTTTTTTCTCAATACAACCCCCAAATCCGATCTTGCGCGTCTTTTTGTGTTATTTTGATAAAAATAGGGTGTTTTATGTAAATGTCTCAGTCTGAAGTTTTACTTCGTGGACGTGAACAAGGTCACACAAGCTTTGGTCAAGCGAGGCAATATCTCGGTAATCTCCCATCTCTACCTAAGTCTAAGGAATATTACAGTTCACTCCCTCGGAGTGTTAGTGGGTCCTTCTTCCGAAATATTACTCGTTGATGGGTATCTCCGTGAAACTATGGCTTTTCTAGGTCCTACATGCTAAAATCATAATAGATGGGGGATTTTTACGAGAAAACCTTCAATTTTCATATTCACATTTTTATGACCTGTTGATCTCTTATTTTCTTCATTCTTATTTCCCTCTCCTGCGCTGCCCGACTGCGCCATCAGAAAATGCCAACCATCCAGGTACCCCCCCCCCCCCTTCTTCTTTCTCTCTCTACTCAATCTACCCTCCAACATTCCCAATATTGTGGAGCATCTCTCTCTCTCTCTCTCTCTCTCTCTCTCTCTCTCTCTCTCTCTCTCTCTCTCTCTCTCTCTCTCTCTCTCTCTCTCTCCCCATCTATATATCTATCGTTTTATCGCCAGTCTATGATATGTTTTCTCGCTCACATCACACTACGAGTAACTCTACGTCTCTTTCTCTCTCTTCACAGATATGGAAAGACGGAGAGATGAAGGAAGAGATAATCGGCGGGCACAAGGCTTGGCTGGTGATCGAAGAGGTCCGCGAGATGATCCTAAAGCACAGTTGACAAGCCCCCTCTCCCTCCCTCTCTCTCTCTCTCTCTCTCTCTCTCTCTCTCTCCCTTCTCTCTCTCTCTCTTCTCTCACAGTGCATGTACATCGTCATACCAAAAAAAATATAATTGCTGACAAAAGCACTAAAAATTTATGGAAATTTGTTATTGTATTCGGGGAAAAATATCTCATCTCACCACCCTGAACTATGAAAGTTGGATAACGTGTCAATGGGCTTTGGAGCTGGGCCGGAACATTATAAGAGCCCAGCCCGAAGCCCGTTCTGGAGACTTTCTTCCGAACTCGGCCCTATAAATATCGGCCGCTCACCGCTTAGGACTGAGCAGGGAGACAAAATGAAGATCTTCAGGCCATTGAGGCTGTTTGCCGTGCGTTCCATCTCTGCAGCTACTCACCGGCGGAGTTCGCCGCCACCAGCGGCGGGGTCACCTGTTCCCTCGAGAACTTAGTCGTGGATTCCGTTCTCGCCTCCTGATGGGACGCGGTAGAGGCAGCCGTCCCAGCTCTCACCCCGCCGTCGCGTCCGCGGGCTCCGCCCTCGGCCAAGTCTCATCCCTACACTCTTGCAGAGGATCGGTCTCGACCGCCACGAGCTTTCCTCTCCGTCGGGGGCCTCGGCGAGGCGCCTCCCCCCCCCCCCAGGATATTTGCGCTTGGCCACATAATTTTGTTGGGGACATGCATGACATGCAAGAGAATTGATGTCACATACCATGTTTATTAAATAACTCATTAAAGAGAAGTTCTTTAGCATTATCAGATCTGAATTATTTGAGCTTGCGTCTATACTAACTATAAATCATGTTAAAAGATTTTGGAATGATAAATGTGGCATTAAATTCGTGATTCGTAAGAAAGACCGAAGTAAAGCGACTAGAGTCATTCAGAAATGTAAGAAAATATTGAATATTGGATCAAATTTAAAAAAGTATCTAAATATCAAAATGTTCTAGTTCAAACTGATGTTAAGGTATATTGTTGTGGCTAAAAAAATGTAAATGTTTTTGTTTTTCTAAGATACAAATGCAACATGGCTTGGTCTCAGAAGGACCATCGAAAGATAAGTGATTCTTTATCACATCAAAAACCTTCAATGATGGATGTCACAACCTTTTATGTCAAATTTCAATTGAAACATTGTTAGTAGAAACATGAATAATTTTGCGATCAGCCAATGTAGATAAATTTATTGACTCCAAAATATAAAGGTCCTAAACTCTGCTACCTTGCTAAACATTATCTTATGAGAGTCATCTTAAATCACAAAATGGTGATGAAAGAAATGGATGTGAACCTATGAGTCTATTGCCCCTCAATAGATTAAATTTAAATTCAAGGGCAAATAAGACATCTTTGATGATCAATTAGGAATTTAACTTCACATCATCTTATAGGTTGACTACTATGTGCACACTATTGGGTAATGTGACTCTTGAATTTCATATTAATCATGATGAGATGAAGTAATTTGCATTTGAACATATCTATCTTAATGTTCTTGAATCAACTACCCAATAGTAATTGTTTGATATGATAAGATACAAAGAAATTGAGAAACACATTTGTAGTACTTCACAAGAAAATTGATATACAAGAAACACATTTGGTGGCAAATTGAGGTGAAAAATCAATTAATTTTTTAGTCAAGATGAAAATTATAAGAAGACTTCTAATATCCTCAATGTCTTGTAGCTAAGTAGAGTCAAAACTTCAAAAAAATTGGCTAACATTGACTTCACAATATTTGGTCTTGGTTTATAGTCTAGTAGATAACCATGTAATTTTTAATATTTATTCAAAACATATCTTGAAATTTCTCCCAAGTATTTATCCTCAAAAATTGAAATGTGTAGAATATAAATTATTTTTGTGCCTTGGTTTGGTTTGAAATTTCTTAAAAACTTTGATGTCATCATCTTGGTGGCAAATGCCATGGTGTTGAATGGATCAACTCCATACCATACATGAACTTGTTGGTGACATTCTTCTTGAAACCCAAGGGAAAATTTAATATTCAAGAAATAACCATATTGTTGTTCATAATCAAAGTTGATAATGAGATAGATCTTTGCTAATTGATTTCATTATAATGGGCATGTTAACTTTAATCTCCTCTCCCTTGATGCACTCTATTTTTCCTCTCTCTCATCTCTCTTCTCTCTTATTTTCCTTATTATCCATAAATTATGTTAATTAAATTTATTTTCTTATTTTACTATAGATTAAATGATTCAATAGTTACAACGGAAGGGAGGAGTTGGTTAGAGTTGAGTGAGCACATAATATCTAATTTACTCTCTCTCTCTCCATTATTTATTTCATAATTTTATTTTATTTTTTAAACTTAGATTTATATTTATTTAGAGAACAGAATAAATTATCATCATTTGTTATCTTCCTTGTGGATTAGACTTGAACTCACCATGATTACTTAATTTATCTTAAAGCAAATTAAATTTTATAAAATTTAAATTTGACATATCTTAATGCAACGACTAAGAGACTATCATGAGTCTTAGAATTGTTATTTTTCAATTAAATGACTTCATTAATATAAGCATGTGAGTAACTATTAGAAATATATCTTGATTAAGTGTTGAATGTAATAAATTTTAGAGAAAGTATTAACTGTGATCAAAATTCATAATATTCAAAGAGCTATGATCTTTACAAGTTTTACAATTACACTTTTGTATTTTTCAAAACTTGTGTGACTCACTAAACCCACTTAAGCCTAAGTAGTAAAAATGATCAAGATAAAAAAGAAACAATTCAACTTCACCATAAAATAAGAATTTTTCTCAAATTAGGGCAATGAAAAATTAGACAAATTTTAGACAGTGGTAACTACTTTAAATGGTGTTTCTCTTCTTCACCACCCCTCTCAAATCTCAAAGACCTAAAAGTAAGATTAGATCAATTCAAAGAAGTTGTGATGTAGATTGGTTAAGACACATATAATGTGCCAATAACATTGTCACTTTAGTTGTTGAAGCACCTTTGGAATGCTGATAATGAGAAATTTTAAGGGCGTTAAAGTTAGGGTTCTAAGTAGTGATCACAAGTTTACTAAATTTGGTAATATAAAGGCTTCTTGATCCTAGTAAAATCAAGTGTACTTTGGTGGTGAAATAGTAGAACTGAAGGAGATTCCTTGGAAGTGGATATAAGTTAAATTAGTTTGATTAACCATTATAAAATCCAATGTTCACAAAAAAAAAAAAAAAACTTCATATTTATATATTAATTTATTAAGTGAAATATTAATATATAAATAAAATAAAATTTATTATACTTAATTCAATAAAAAATAATTCCTCCCCTCCCCCTTCTTCTTCTTCATTCATCTATCTATTTAGAGACCAACAAACTCTTTCACATAGCTATTAGGTTAGTCTACAAAGTAGACGATAGGGGGTTGTGAATATCTCATCAATACTCCCCCTTAAAACATTCACTATTAACTAGGTGAAAATTAGGAAATTATTATTTAATACTTTTAGTTGATTCTCACATGGTCTCTGAGTCTAGAAGATCCTTTCATTTGATTAAGACATTGACACCATTTAAGTCATTCAATAATAATAGTCTAAATTGCTCCTTTTGAACTGCAACATGTAGAACATATAATAAATGCTCATGATGAGTGGACAGGGTAGTCACATGGTGATCAGTTCAACTTTTTCTAGGACCTCAAAAGGGACTTTGGCTGAAGATAGACAAGATTACTTACAACAACCTCCATACCATGATGTTTTTTGTTAATATAGGCTTTCATTGAACTTAAACTTATGAGATAGTGTTTGAGTTAGTTGGTAGTGACATTTTGATCTTGTAGTTGCTAATCTACGTCACCCAATCTTGTAGGTTGTGTCATACCAAAAGAAGAATATCAAGTATCTCCCATAAATAGTTTAGTGCCTATAGAAAAATGAAAGTTTGTATTATACCAAAATTTTGTTCATACGAAATTGCACAATTATCAAGAACAATTGTTGGTGAAGCATTGAGGATAGATTTTGATTTTGTGATTCACAACTTCTATTTGAAAAATGATTTGTAGATGATATAAGTTTGTCTGACATAGAGTGACCCTTTGAATTTTGATTAATACTTTTTAGAATATACTTATGAACATGATCTCGATTAGTGAGGATCAAGATTAGAATGTCATGTAATTGTATGATGTCATGAGTGAATATGTTTGTGACTTCCTAAACTACAAGCAAGTGCCTAAGTGTAGAGAAATGCACATATTTGCATATTTGCTTAGTTGATGATCTAATATCAACACCTGAATCAACTTCCATCATCACTACGAACATACATTTCTCATCATAAAATGGACTCATTGTCAATAATTGACTCTTCCATGTGATAGTCATGCTCATCTCTAATGTGAATGATAGGGGGTCATAAATATCTCATGTATTCCATATGCTCTCTAGATCTAACATCATGGTTGTGCTCCTATTGTCCATTATAATTTTGTCAAATCCAATGGAGCTCTCAATATTGAGTAATTTCTCTTCTGGTCTCTCTATTGGGCCTCAGCTACCACCTTGAGGAAGAAGTAATTTTGTTTACATCTAGGGGGCAATCTTTAGAGCTCTTGGTTGCCCAATTCTGTAACTTTGAGCTATGATATAAAACCTATAGTTTATGAAGTAAAATGAATACTCACTAGATGTGATGTTTTTCTCTTTGCTACCTCGAATTGAAGTCTTTAGTAAAGGAGGTTGCGTCTAGAATCTAATAGTCTACTTGTGTTTTGGCTCCACTCGTTGTCTTTCAAGCCTACAGATACCCTAATTTGCCTAAGGAGAAACCCTAATAGGCAAAGACCTACTATTATTCATTTACTGCTTGAGCTGACCTACTTATTGTTTTCTTCTTCTTCATTGTCTTATGCTTACTCTCTCTCTCTCTCTCCCTCTCTCTTTCTCTCTCTCTCTATATTTATATATATAGAGAGAGAGAGATCGTCAGTCTATGTTATGATTTCTCACTCACATAACTTTACTTGTAAGTCGATGTCTCCCTCTCTCTCTCTATCTATTGTTAGCCTATGTTATGATTTTCCCACTTCACTATATGTCTCTCTTTCATATATGTATGTATATATATATATACGTCGTAAGTTTATGTTATGATTTTTCGTTCACATAACTCTGCTTGTAAGTCTACGTCTCTTTTTCTCTCTCTCTATCTATGGACAGTTTTCTTGCTCACATCACTCTACGTCTCTCTCTCTCTCCCTCTCTCTCCACATCTATGGAAAAACGAAGAGATGAAGGAAGAGGTAATCAGCGGGCGCAAGGACTTCGTTGGTCATCTAAGAGGTCCGCCTGATGATCCTAAATCATGGCTGACAATCCCTCTCTCACCTCTCTCCTCTCTCTCTCTCTCTCTCTCTCTCTCTCTCTCTCTCTCTCTCTCCCCCCCCCCCTCTATGTCTCTCTCTCTCTCTCACTGTCACTATGCATGTAAACTCATCATACCACGAAAATTATAATTGCCGAAAAAACCATGGTAAATATATCGATATTAGTTATTATATTTGAGGGAAAATATCTAATCTCACCACCCCTCATCTTTGAAAGTTGGATGACGTATCGATGGGCTTTTGGACTTGGCCGAAGCTTTATAAGGGCCTGCCCTGAAGCCCGTTCTGGAGACTATAAATAAGGACCATACTGATTTGGAACTGGGAAGGAGAAAGAAAGGATGAAGATTTTCAGATCGTTGCGGCCGTCTGCCGCGTTCTATCTCTGCGGCTCCTCGCCGGTGGAGTACGCCACCGCCAGTTCCCTCGAGAACTCCGTAGTCGAGTCCGTTCTCGGCTCCCGATGGGACGCGGTGGAGGCAGCCGTCCCAGCTCTCACCCCGCCGCTCGTAACCACCGTCATCCGGAGGCTCCGCCCGCACCCCCGCCTCATCCCTACCTTCTTGCAGAGGATCGGCCTCGACCGCCTCGAGCTTTCCTCTCTCTCCGCCGCTGCTTCCGAGCTCGCGGGCCTCGGTGAGGCGCTCCCCGCGCTGGACCTCCTCAAGCAGGCCATCGCCGGCGGGAAGATCCAGAGCGGCCCCGAACTCTTCGAATCGCTTGTCGCTGCCGCCATGGAGTCGGCGGATGGCGCTCTGCCGGTCTTCGAGCTCCTGCTCAGGGCCCTCTGGGAGTCCGGCAAGCCTGAGGAGGCGCTAGAGGCCTTCTACTTCGTGAAGGAGACCGGCGCGCGGCCGAAGATCGAGATCTGCAACGGCCTGCTCAGCGCCTTCCTGAGGACGAACAGATTAGGGAGCGCGTGGCGGCTCTACGCAGAGATGTTCAGGATGAAGATCCAGTCGAACACCGCCACGTTCAACATCATGATCAACGTGCTCTGCAAGGAAGGGAAGCTCAGGAAGGCGGTGGCCTTCCTACAGATCATGGAGTCCTCCGGCGTCCGGCCGACGGCCGTGACCTACAACACCATCATCCATGGCCACTGTGAACGGGGGCGAGTCGATATCGGCCTGGAAATCCTGGACTCCATGAGGGAGAAGGGGATCAGCCCCGACTCGTACACCTTTGGGATCCTCATATCGGGGCTCTGCAAGCGTGGGAAACTCGAGGAAGCTTCGGCCATGTTCTCCGAGATGGAGGAGAGCAGCGCTGCGCCGACCGCGGTCACCTTCAACGCGCTGATTGACGGCTTCTGCAACAAGGGGGATCTGGAGACTGCGTTCGCCTACCGTACGAAGATGGAGGCGAGGGGCATCGATCCGACGGTCGCCACCTACAACATGCTCCTCCACGCCTTGCTCATGGAGAGGAGGAACGCGGAGGCGGATCGTCTGGTCGAAGAGATGGAGAAGAAGAAGCTCGCCGCGGACGCCGTCACGTACAACATTCTCATCAACGGGTGCAGCCGAGCGGGGAACGTCGAGAGAGCCTTCCACCTGTTCGAGGAAATGTCTGCAAGACGGCTCCGACCCACGGCGGTGACCTACACCTCCCTGATCTACGGCCTCTCGCGGAGGAAGCGGGTAGAGGAGGCCCACAGACTGTTCCGGGCAGCCATCGAGAGCGGCCTCGCACCAGACGCCGTCATGTTCAACGCCCTGATCGACGGCTTCTGCAGCGGCGGCAGGCCGGAGAGGGCCTTCGAGCTGGTTGCGGAGATGGAGCGGCGGCATGTCACCCCGGACGAGATCACTTTCAACTCCCTGATGAGGGGGCTCTGCCTGGCGGGTAAGGTCGAGGAGGCCCGAAAGCTTCTGGAGGAGATGAGGAATCGGGGGATCGAGCCTGACCATGTCAGCTACAACACGCTAATCAGCGGGTACAGCCGGAGGGGGGCGGTGGGGGACGCCCTGCGGCTGCGGGACGAGATGCTACACCGGGGATTCAACCCCACCGTCCTCACCTACAACGCGCTGATCCAAGGGCTGAGCGCCGGCGGGGAGGGCGACCTCGCCGAGGAGCTCCTGAGGGAGATGTGGAGCAAGGGCGTCGGCCCAAATGACGGCACCTACATCGCCCTCATGGAGGGTCTGGCAGGCGCCGGCGGCAGAGAGGTGACGGCTCCTCCGGCATAAACCGGTAACACTCTCCTCGGTTAGAGAGAGATGACCCTGCAGATCATCTCTCTCTCTCTCTGCTTCTCTCTAATTGTTTGCCATCATCTGAGAAGAGAGCATCTGGCTAGGTGAAAGGGTAGAAGTTTGAGAATAGGAGGCTGCCGAGGAGGAGGAAGGTCGCGAAATACACCACGATCAGGCGACTGGTCAAGGAGGCGTGATCTCCACCGACGTAGCCGGCGGCAAACCAGTAGATCGGAGGGCTGGCCGACAGGAACCGCGTCGCTACCTGCAAGAAGCAATAGCATGGTCTCTCAGAGTTCTACCATTTCACCTGCAAGAAGCCATAGCATGGGAGAAGCCCAGTGACCTACCTGAACGTGCATGACGAAGAAGGCCACCGCTGCCATGAAAGCGAGATGGTAGACGAAGGGCAGGACCAGGAGGGAGGAGTACCCGCGGAACGCCCTCCCGCCATGTCTCCTCTGTCGAACCACGGGGTTCCCCTCTGTGCCAAGTTCGAGAAGGCGTTGGTTACCACGTCTTCTCCCTCTCTCTCTCCCTCCCCGTGAACGGAGGGTGGGTCCCCTTTCCGTCTCTTCCCATTTTCTCCCATCTTTACAGATAGCTAACCTATCGGCAAGATTCAATATAAGTCTCATGAAGGTAAACCTACCTATTGGTTCTCCAGAGGGCATGGCAGAGGTGGCGGCGGCTATCTTTCTTTCCTTGGCGGGCGCTCGGAGGCCCAAGGAGAGCACGGCTTCGGGACGCAGTCTCACGTATTCCATGATCGAGCAGGTTGCCAGCAGCAGCATCGGAGACGCCAGGAGAAAGTTAGGTAATTGCTTCACTTGAAAGTATCTCAGAAACCCAACGTCCCTGCAGAGAAGCAACAGCAGCAGAAGATGAAGAAGGAGATCGTCAAGATGCAGAGAAACAGCCCGCAGAGATCAAGAAACAGAGGAAGAAGAAGACGAGAACGAGGAGAAGGAGGTCAGCAGCGACCAAGGCGAACAGAAGCAGTCCACCGAGATCAAGATGAATCAGAAGAAAACAACAGCAATGGCAAGGGGTCAATCTAAGGGGGGTAAGTCAACGAGTAGTACCAGTAATGGCTCTGGACATAGCCGTATAACCGCGGAATCCCCGGTCCGCACCAAGGTCTTCGCTCCTTGGGGTCTCTCCCCAGGCACAGCTTGGCGTACCCGTAGGCCTGGAAGAAGACCAGCGGAGTCATCACGCAGCCAATCTTCAAGCCTCCAGCCGCAACCCCCTTCAGCTCAGACTTCGCAATCCAGTCAACGTTTTGCCCAGTGAGTATTCATCCAATCTTCGAAGCAGGGCAAACAAGAGGCGTTGAAGATCGCTCGGGTCAACGCACCAGACGCACAGCAAGTGGCTTCTTCCCCAAGATGGCGGCCGTGGCCCGATGGAGATCCCGGAAGAATAAATACCCGGCATTGAGAGCTCCGTTGGATCTGACCAAACCAGAGAGGGCGAGCAGGAGCACGGCCATGGCGTTGGACCCAGAAAGCAAGTGGAACACCCCGCCCAGCGAAAACCAGGCGTACAGACTCTCCGAATAGCTGTGTGAGAGAGGCAAGGAACGCCATTAGTGACCGGAGAAGTTGGGATCTGGAGGTAGGTCTTCGGCGAGAAGATTACATGGAGGAGTAGAAGACTGAGGCAGGGTTGAAGCAGAAGAGCATCGACGCTCGGTAGGCGGCGGCCTCGTCCCTGAGAACAAGAACGGATAATCTGCAAGCTCCGAAACAGTCAAGACGCTGATCATGGCAACAAAAAAAGAAAGCTCTGAAAACCCCTGAAGATCTCCGTGCTCACCGGTAGAAGTACACGGCGGCGATCAGGAACGCGGCGTTGTTCAGCGCGTAGCCCGCCAGGGCCAAGACCGCCCGGAACCCTAATAATGGAACCAGCGGAGCAAATACTGCCAATAGTAGCAGAAGAAGAAGAATAAGAAAGAAGAAGAAGAAGAAGAAGAAGAAGAAGAAGATGATGATGATCATGATGATGATGATGAACCCCCAGATCAATGGAGAATCCTCCCACCTGAGCGGGCCAGCAAGGAGATGAAGACGGGGAGTGCGGGGAAGAAGGCGAACGTCTGCTCGTACTCGTAGTCGCACTCGGCGATCCGGAGGAAGTGAACCCCATCCCAGACGACGCTGCGCTCGATCGCCGCCGCCGCCCGGGGCCACAGCGGCGGTGCCCCGGCGGTGGCGACGCCGAGGCAGGGCGGGTTGAGCGCGGCGGAGGTGTCGTAGGGGTGGAGGAGGAGCCTCCACAGGCACATCAGCGAGAAAACCAGCAACCTGGAGAAGATGGCTGTGCGGAGAATCCGCCGGGAGTCGCCGGAGATCGACATCCGCGTCCGCCGCCGGCGAGATCTGTTCTCCGCCTCTTGCCAGAGAGCTCCAGAGCTCCGTCAGAGGGAGAACAAAGAAGAAGATGGCTCTCGGGCCCAAACGTGCGCAGTGCAGAGCGATCCGCCCGGTCCTCCGATCCGACCGAGTCGTATCTAGTTGGCCGGCCACGTCCTCCTCGGTTCGTGGGACCCTCTCCCCCGACCCTCGCCCGTAGGGACCACCCTCTCTGAATCTGGCGCGTACGTGTTGCCCCACGCGCCTTCCGTGCGTACCATATCACCATGCGCCTCTTGCGCTTACTACCCCATGTACCACTCTGCACGCGGCACTTACTGTGCTTGCCGCTTCGTACTGACCTCAGTCCGGCGTTGCCGGTACGAACACCGAACCTGGATCCGAAAGCTGGGAGGGGTGTGAGGGCCATGCCTTGCTTCTTCTGGCCGGAGTCTGCTACAAGTCAGATTCGACCCGAATACTCACGGGCCGGGCGGAACCTATTGTTATTATTTCTGGGCTTGATTTTCAGACGAAAAATATATATATATTTGGATATCAGGGTTCCCGGTGGCCCCTTATTTCAGAGCCAAAATTTTTTAATGATTTAATATATTCAAAAATAGAGGAGTTTATTAGTGGAATCCATAAACGGCCCAAGCCTAGCCGGGCCGAGTCCAGTTTGCTTAAAGTGTCGAAAAAGGGCTCAGCCCATTATCATACGCGAACCAAAAACGCCACGGTTTTCAGAAGAGTATATTAAAATGTATGTATACACCGGCGGATACTTAAATAGGGAACGATCAAAACACCAGGTCAGACTCTATAAGTCAACGTCCCATAAAAGGAAAATAAACCCACGGTTTTTCAGCGGCGTACGCAAGCACTTGCTTGAATACAGAGCAATCGGAGCGGTAGGTCAACTTCACCTGTCAACGTCCCATAAAAGGAAAACAAAACACACGGCTTCTTTCAATAGTAAGTAAGCTGGGCTAGAACTCGCTTGAAAAGGAAACCTTCGAAGCACAGGTCAGGTGCACTAGTCAACGTTGCACAAAAGAAGAAAACAGAACCACAGTTTTCAGTAGAGTATCCATATAAAGCAGGTGAGTACTTGATTGAATAAGGAACGATCAGAGCGACAGGTCAACTCCATACGCCAACTTTCCATAAAAGGAAAAATAAGATAAAAGGGGGTTCAGAACTTTCCACATACTGCGCCCCATAGATTCTAAATATAGGCGGCGAGCATGAGAGAAGAACGCACCAAAGAGGTGAAAGGAACAAAGCCAAGGACCAGTACCAGGTCAACTCCACAAGTCAACTTTCCATTAAAGGGAAACTAATAGAAGCATAGTGTGCCCCCATAGATGGTAAATAGAGGCGGCGGGAATGAGGGAAGAGCTCACCAAAAGAGGTGAAAGTAACAAAGCCAAGGATGAATTGCCAGGGGGAGGAGACTCCCCGAGGGGCTCATCAGCAGGGGCCGGTCACTGCCATCACTGCCGATGGGGCCGCCGGCGGTGTGCCGCCTGCTAGTGGAGGAGTCTCACTGCCGAAGGCCACCTTCAGAGATGTTGGTGATGTCAGAGGAGGTGGAGATGGAGGGACCGGCGTTCGTTGTGTCCAACCAGAGGCCTTTGGGATCAGAATGCCACCCCCGCCGGGTGGTCTGAAACAAGGACGGGCTGGAGACCTCCATGGTGGCGGTGGCAGCGGCAGCGGCGGTGGTGGTGGTGGTGGGGGAATTCATTTGCTGCTGCTGCTCTTCGCTTTCCTGTTGCTTGGTGTTCAGGAAGCGGCCGCCGGATCCTCGCACCCTCCTCATGGCATGAAGGTGCCGGGACTCGTGGAGGTACGGCTGCTAGCAGTCACAAATGAAGAGAACCCATATTAGCTCTTCTCAGGGCCCAAAGCTCTCTCTCTCTCTCCCTCTATCTCTTACACTGGCTGTGATGAGAGCATACGGAGGGAAGCTGGGCCTGACCTTTCAACAGTCCAGACCTCAGAATGGAATAATAACACAGATAAATAGAGAGAGAGAGAAGGGAGTGGGGAGGAGGGAGGGTTTGCTCTCCGTAAGATCTGACGCGGAGGCCAGTTTCCAGGATTTGACCAGTGCCCAAATGGGATAGGACAAATGTGGCAAAAACCAACAATATAGATTTAAGACAAAAAATCAAACCTTCCTCCCCTTGAGAAGCTTATTCTGGGCCTCTTGCTTGGCCCGCTGCTGCCGCCTTCGGAGGATTCCTTGGTACTGCTTTGCGTTGACGTAGATGGGCTCCTCCCCGGGGAGACTCAGAGGGAGAGGGGCTCGAACAGACTGGCCGGCCCTCACCATCTGAGGAGAATTAATCCAAAACTTATCACATTACAAACGAAGAACAGGGCTACTAGAAAAATATAACCACAAAAAAGGGCAAACTTTCATCTCTGAGTTCAATCCGGGGGGTGATCGTTATCTCTACCTTGCATCTCAAAAGTCAATACAACATTGAATAAATAACGTTGACCCAACCCAGATAGGAACCCAGCTCTCTCTCTCTCTCTAAGCTCCTCTCTATCTCTCTCTCCAATCTCCTCTCTATCTCTCTCTCTAAGCTCCTCTCTATCTCTCTCCAAGCTCATCTCTATCTCTCTCTCCAATCTCCTCTCTATCTCTCTCTCTAAGCTCCTCTCTATCTCTCTCCAAGCTCATCTCTATCTCTCTCTCCAATCTCCTCTCTATCTCTCTCTCTAAGCTCCTCTCTATCTCTCTCTCCAAGCTCCTCTCTATCTCTCTCTCTAAGCTCCTCCCTCTCTCTCTCTCTCTCTCTCTCTCTCTCTCTAAGCTCCTCTCTCTCTCTCCAAGCCTCCCCCACTCGCCCAACCCCTCAAAATAATCCTTCTGCAATCAGAGTAAACATGTTCCACGCAATCCATTTAATATATCAAATGGAGATTTAGTTAAGCTGAGAAATACAGTTTTTATGTTCAGCCACGGCTCCCTTTACTGATACTCATTTTATTGGAAGAGTTGAATCAACGAGAAAAAAACTATGCTTCTTGATTCCATATAATCCAAATTATTCGTTCAACTAAAAAATAAATTATATTCTTTTCTCAGATCTAGCATTCAGAGATAAAAGGATTATCATTTTTTGAGAAATAGAGTTTCATATCGGAATATCAACCAAAATACCCGTTTAAATAGGACGAATCACACTTTTACCACTAAAGTATACCCGCTAAATTTTTTAAGATTTTACAATTTTTCATATCGTGGATGAGAAGCTAGAAATAGAAATAAGAAAGTGCTCACCATGGCATGCGGCCCACAGCCAGCCACGCTGCCAACATAGCATGCATCCACATGAGTGTATGGAAAGAGGCCCTGCAAGAGGGGGGAGATATCACATAATTCCTCAAAAAAAATTCCAAATAATAAAAATAATGATGACCCAGAAAAAATGGGCTCTCAGCCTCCGACTCACAGTAGCTTGCACGTCTGTTCTAAGGGATGAGGCAGATTTCATGTTGTCTTCGTCCGGCTTCCCATGGCCATTATCTCTCGCTAAGGGAACTAAAAGCATCATAAAAGTATCGGAAATCAGTTAACTACTGGAAAAAAAAAAATCCCAAATAAAAGTGGGGGGAAAATGGGTATTTTGGGAATGGGGAATTCTTCTTTATGCATGTCTGAGCTTTTCCATTCACAGGCAGCTCGAGGAAACTGAAAATAATGGTAGAAAACTGAATATTTAAGATAATTAAAAGATGCAGAAGTCACTGGGCAATTCTGATGATTTTTTTTTCCAGCACGAAGTACATCCTGATGTATAAATCAATAAATAAATAAATTAGCAATCAATGGGCACATAAATCACATATTTAGCTTGGTGAAATATTCTACGCCTACAACAGACTGATGTCGCAACAGACAATAAAATAGGACGATAATTTTTTCTACAATGCCCAAGTTTTATATTATTATATAATCTTCACTCAAATCAATAATAAGACACAGATATATGCTAGTACATAAACGTGCACTAAAAATTCAAAATCAGATTATATTCAGAGAAGTAGCCCTCTATTGACAGGTTTTTCTACAAGATCTTCCTAAAAACTCCATAATTTTGTATAAGCTTACTGTAGTCATACCACTAATGAGGCATTAGGATGTGCGCTGATGACTAAATAATGCATTCCAAATCAAAATCAGATGATATTCGGATAAAAAAGCCCTCTGATCACGAGTTTTCCCGCGAGATCTTCCTACAAGATTCACAACTTTATTTAACTCTATTTAGGAAATGACGTAGTAAAGAAAAGTCAATAAGAAACAACCAGAAGGTGCTGAAAGCCTCAAGTCGTCCCAAGTCTGGTGGGACTGAGAAGTCAACTCGCTGGAGGAGTCCTGGTCTGGCAGCTGCCCAACGAGTCTCCTCACTTGGTTGTAATACTGCACCTGAGAGGACAGTGGGATATGGGAGATGTTCGAACTCCACCAAGAAGGGTAAGTAGGGGTCGAATTGGAAATCGAATAGCCACAGCCATGGTCCGAGTCTCTGCCAATGAAATTCTCCATTTTGGACCTTCTCTGGGCCTCTCGATCATCAAACTTGAAGAATTAATCACCTAAATAATTTTATATTGCAAAGTCTCAGAAGATTTACAGTAGAAACCTGGATGTTAAAGTCTCAAACTAAATTAGTTATAAAAAAAAATCCACACATTCCAGAGGGTGAAACATTTTAAAAAATCATAGTCATGAAACCTGGATGTTTGATAAATTAATCAAAATTGAAGGAGTCGTGACGAGATTTACTCAGATTTAAGCATTGTAATTGCAACAGAATCTCGTGTTCTACCCCTCCATGACGGATCCAAGTTTCCTGTACAGAAAAATAGAATAAGAGCAGAGAATATTTTCCGTAACACTCGATCTCTGTTAAAAACTAAGTTCGAACACAATTATCTCCATTTAATAATGGTGTTAGCATTCAGATTTCGAGCGATATTTTTTCCCATGTACTAGAAGAAAGTCGGATGAATAATACTCCCTAATAATCTCGTCAAAATCCTGAGCGGACGTGGAAAATGATAAAATATCTGCTTCAAGGTCTTGATATGTCGGAAATAGAGACTCACGATCACCTGATCCGGCAAAATTTATCCCAGATCATGTTGAATCTGGATTTGGGAGTTCTCCGCCATGGCGGTCGGGCGCCTGGTCGCAGCCGAGGATCACTATAAGAACGATTTTTGTAAAGGAGATTTCGCTCGGACTGTAAAATTATCGACTCTGATCCGAAGCAAAGCCGGAGCCGGCGACAGTGAACGGTCTTCGTTCTCTTCTGCCAGGGGAGGTATGAAGAAGGGAAACGCCGAACCGATTTAACAGCTTCCACAAGGCCCAGCATCCGACTGGATCAAACAAGCGCGCTTTCGATCGGCAGAGAGGGAAGGCAAGGCGACCGGAATCATCGGTTACAGACGACGCCGAGAGCGAGAAATCCGGCGAGGGGCGGGCGAGAGGCGAGCCTCTTGCGGACCCAAACACCACGGCAGTGGAACGAAGCGAAAGGAAAAAGAAGGAAGAAAAAAAAATCCTGGTCAAACCAGGAAGATAATGGAGCAGAGAGAGCTGTAGATGAAGCAACCATCCAATTGGAGTACACAACCCACGAATGCACGGAACGACGGCGGCGAGATAATCACAAAGGAGGCAAAAATAAAGAGAGTCAAACAGTCTAGGAGGGAGAGGGGGGGAGGGGGAGACCTGCAGTACAACTAGGGCAGAAGAAGCGTGTCCCCCTCCTGGAACCGCTCGCTTCCACTGTTCCCTGCGCCTCCTACGGCCGCCGCACGTCCGTCCCCGCTCCCATTTGTGCTCTCTCTCCTCCTCCTCCTCCTCCTCCTCACGCTTCCCTATGAACCAATCGTGCAACCACCCTCCAACTAAGAATCATCCAAAGGAAAATCGCAGATACTACCACGGAGGATCAGAGATTCGAAGGCCCTTGTACCCAGGCTTTTAAATCTCTCCTCCACGTTTTCCGATTCATCATTTACTCTCCACCCTCCGCTGTCCCCATCGCCGGCCCCCACCTCGGTCTCCTTCGCCACCTCTCAACCGCCCCCCCCCCACCCTCTCTTCTCTCTCTCTCTCTTTCTCTCTCTTTCTCTCTCTTCTCTCTTCTCTCTTCTCTCTTCTCTCTCTCTCTCTCTCTCCTCTGTGACAACGGCTATCCAGCCGGCAGAACCTTACTGCCACAAATGCCTCGCCCGAGAAGACCTCTCCCCGGAATAGAATACGACAAAAGGGCATGAGACGTAAATATTTTGATAAAAAGGGATCTTTTAGTCCTTTCAAAAGGAATCCCACACTTTGAACGTGGATCTGCAGCTTCTGCGGCATCCTGTCCCCATCTTGTTAGCACCTAAATACGGCCCAAATTTCGTTGAATGATTTCCTTTTCTAGGCAGGCATGAGGGTAAAAATGTCTTTTCCCATTGAAGCTGGCCTTTTTCCCTCACCGCCATCAGAATCCATCACGTGTCAGATTTATGAGGCGTCGAGATTTTAAGCTCGTGACGACTTCCAGGCGCGAATGAGGGGGGGCCTCATTCGACGCGATGACGTCACAAATTATGTTTTTATTTAAAAATTATATAATTGCTAGAGAGTCAACGGGCCGCAGTTGAGATCGCCTTGACGAGCCGTGGTCCGCGGGGCCCACAGAGCGGCCACGATCATTTATGGCCCAATAGCGACCCGTTTTAATACTCGGTTGAGAGAGAGAGAGAGAAAGAGAGAATAGACATCCAGTCGCGACACGTTGCCAAATTAAATGAGCTGCGGGCAATATTCCTTGTGATCGAAGCCCGGAAAATACCAATCTACCCCGTGAAAATTTGTTTAACGCTTCTGTACCGACGTGGAAAATTATTTATCTATTCTTACAGGGTTATGACGTGTTTTTATCAGAATAATTTCTCTTCATTTGGCGGTTTTTGGGTATAAACGTAATAGTTAAATAATTTTGGATTATCACAAAAATATATATATTAAGAAGGCCCCGGAGACACCAGTCCTAACAACTTCCCTGTAGCTGAGGGATGTGGGGCCCACCATACGTCTGTACAGCAAATCAGCCAACCAGGAGAGAGAGAGGGGGGCAAGACATTAAAGTATTTTTATATATTAATAAATTGTCAGCGCATTTTGATAAATATATATATAATGTCGGTAAAATTGTGATTTACTGGACCCTCGTGAGCTACTCGATAGGCTGTGTTTTCTGACGTAACGGGCGTACGAACAAGCTCTCTCTCTCTCTCTCTCTCTCTCTCTCTCACACACACACACACACACACACACACTAGCTCGCTCTCTCTCGTTGCTATTGAAGGGTGGGAGGGGGGTCAGTCTGTGCGGAGAGTAGGCATGGTGTCGGGGCTTCAGGTGCTGGTGTACGGGGCGGGGGGGATGGTGGTGGCAGGGGTGGCGCTGCTGGTGGCTTTCCAGGAGAGGCTGCTGTACGTGCCGGTGCTGCCGGGGCTGAGCAAGTCCTACCCCATGACCCCCGCTCGCCTCCGTCTCAAGTACGAGGACGTCTGGCTCCGGGCCTCCGATGGCGTCCGGCTTCACGCCTGGTTCATCAGGCAATCCTCCAAGCGCTCAGGTTAGGGTTTATCCGGCACCAACGATCCGTCCCTGCGCCCTTGTACTCTTCGGTTTTTCCCTGGTTTTAGCTCTCTGTAATTCGTGCCACAAGAAATATGATTGCCGTTGGTATCCCGAAGCACTGAGATGAGATGTTTTTGTGTTTAACTTGTGTTGTTCTGCGACCCTCCGTTTCGTGCGTTGGGTTGGGGCTTTTTGTCCGGGGCAGATTGTTTGCTCTTTGGATGTGGAGAAGAAGAGTTGCTGGTCAGGCTGTTGCTATATCCCCTGCTCTACGAGGTTAATTCTCTGTTAATTCTTTGATCTTGTAAGATCAAGGGTTGCATATTGCTTGTTGGAATGGATCATTCATCCGTCTAGAACATTTGTTCACATCCTCGATAAAATTCCCTATGAATCAGAAGTCGAGTAGTCAAATATCTTATGGTTCAGACACTCTGCTACCGTTGTCCTCGCTTTCTTGGTTTGCTTGCTTGACATCGCTTTGATTCTGGAACTCATATTGTGAGTATGATCCGTCTAGGCTTTGACAGATTTAGCTGAACTTATCCAACTCCTTCATAAGATGCGTTTTCCCCATTTAGTTTATTGTTCTCATCATTTCTGGAGATTTTATTTTATGATATGATCAATCAAGTTCTCTTCCTTGGAAACGTCTGTTCTTCGAATAGCGCTGCTCTAGCTGATTTTGAGGATCAGTCTCTATCCGTAGAGTGATAGCGACATATTTATATTGCAGGTCCAACAATCCTCTTCTTCCAAGAGAATGCCGGCAGTATCCTGGGAGATCATTTCCTCAGAGTTCTTGTCGGAAATGCATGCTCATGTTTTTCAGTTTCTGTGGACGACCCTACCTTAACTTGCATCTGTAGACATTGCGCACCGTCTCGAGTACATTCGGATCATGATAGCGAAGCTTCGCTGCAATGTGTTCATGCTGTCCTACAGGGGGTATGGCGATCGCCAGTATCTCGGCAGCAGCTTATTCCATTCACATAAACCATGTTGTTCTACTCATCTGAAAGTTTGCTCATTGCATTGTAGATATGGTGCCAGTGACGGATACCCATCTCAGCCGGGCATTACAAGAGACGCCCAGGTGTGAAGTTTTCCCAAAATTATCCAAAAATGGGACAGTTCATCAGGCCCAGTAGCTTACTTAGTGCTTCCTGGTTTAGGCAGCATTGGACCATCTGCTACAGAGAGCTGACATAGATACGTCTAGAATTGTCGTGTTTGGGCGATCTCTTGGTGGCGCAGTCGGATCAGTACTTGTGCGAGACAACCCCGATAAGGTATTTGATCTGATTCATTTTCCTGTCACAGTACCTTGAGCCGATTTGAGCTTAGAACACAATTTTTTTTTAGATGAGGAATTTTTCTTCCTATTATTTTTCCTTTATTATGGACGAATAAATGTTCCAACATTATAGTTGATCTGTTCCTCAGCTCCACATCTCTCTCTCTCTCTCTCTCTCTCTCTCTCTCTCTCTCTCTCTCTCTCTCTCCCCTGAAGAACTTGATGCACCCAAACAGCATGAAATCATGGTGAAGTGATGGACTCACTTGCAGGTTTCGGCGCTGATACTGGAGAACACATTCACCTCTGTTCCAGACATGGCTGCAGTCGTGTTCCCTTTCCTAAAGTGGCTTATCGGAGGCTCTGGGTCAAAGGGTCCGAGAATTCTGAATTACTTTGTGAGGTCACCCTGGAGCACCATCGACGTCATTGGACAGGTAAGATTCCGACATAGCTCTACGACTTTCTGACAAGAAGATGCATGCTTGACTTTCTGCATTGGGCCTTGACTATCATGGATTCTTTAGTGACAATAAAACATCTTCTGCCATGATTGAATTGTCTTGATTAGGAAATCATTGGATCATCTTACTTGGGATTTTGCCTAATTTAGAAGTTTTTTGGTGCGAAACCCGGGCTGCAGATTGAGCCGCCGATTCTGTTCATCTCTGGGCTGCAAGACGAGCTGGTTCCTCCTTCCCACATGCAAATGCTCCACGCTGAGGCGACCAGAAAGGGCCGCCAGTGCACATTCGTTGACTTCCCGGCCGGCAGGCACATGGACACGTGGCTCTCTGGTGGCGACAGATACTGGGTGGTGATCCAACTGTTCTTGAGTCAACACGCTCCTGCAGAGGGCGAGCCCGCCCTGCAGCCGGAGGATGGCAATGATGACGACGGTATGGCCATTCCTTTGTCATTGTCAGTCCCAATTGCTATGATTCTTGACTATACTAATAATATTTAGTTATTATTTTTATTAATATTTATTTTTACTTGGTATTTTCCTCATTTATCAGGTTCATGAGCGATAGGACTCTGAGCGGATTTCTTGGAGGAATTAATTCATCTGGAGATCTTCTCATATGCCGGTGAATTTGTGTTATTTTGGTACTCCGATCCATGCTAACGTGATTTTACTGTAAAAGGTAGTCTTTCCAGTGAAAGAAGTGCTCGATTCACGCCGCTCCGTCCCAGCCGTTGACCTTCTGGCGCTGTCGGAAGAGAGAGAGAGAGAGAGAGAGAAAGAGAGAGAGTACGTTCGGCTTCTAGTGTCCGACCTGGCCGGGCCGCGGGCTCGGGCCTACTTCTGGTTGGTTATGTATACAGGCTCGAGCCCGTTTATGGGTTTTAATTGAACCGAGTGGGCCGGGTGAGGACGGTCGGGCCCGACTGGACAACAAAGAGCGGACCATGGCCGTCGGACGTCTAATGAATCTCTTCAATCTAATAGATATTCCCAGCTCAGGTCCACTTAATCTCTCTCTCTCTCTCTCTCTCCCCCCAGAAACCTTCACTTACTATTTTAAGGCGAAACTGCCACTCTCTGTCTCTGTCTCTCTCTCGCTCGCTGTGAAAAGGATATCTCCATTTTCCCCCGCCAGAGTCTCCGATTTCCGCTCCAGACCTACCCCTCTCTCTCTCTCTCTCTCTCTCTCTCTCTCTCTCTCTCTCTCTCTCCGGTGTCTTGTCTGCTTGAGCAGGGGCTTTGTTGCTACGATTGTAGGGGTGGCGACGGGTGGGGGAGAGAAACAGGAGAGGGGCCGCTACGCCATGGATGGATCGGCGCCGTATAACGCGAGGAGCGTGGAACAGGTCTTCCGGGACTTCAAGGGGCGGAGGGCCGGCATAATAAAGGCCCTTACCGCAGGTTTGGTCGCTCACCTTTGCTCACCGCATTCCGCTACCTTCTCCTCGGTTTCCTTCTTCTCAGTTTGCTTCCCTTTACCTTCCTCGTTTAACGCTCTTTAGGTCAGTGGCCGGAGCCTTATTATCGTTTTCTCTCTTTTGCGCTGTTGCAGATGTGGAAGACTTTTACCAGCAGTGCGACCCCGGTTAGGGTCTCCTCGAGCCGCTTTCTTTGCCGTTTTAAATTCTTATTATTGTTTTTTTCAATCCCTTTGCCTGCATGCATGTATTCTAGGCTTTTGTTAGGTTCGTTATTTTTTCTTTAGGAGGTCAGGTCGTGGGACCTTCTTCTTTTCCAGTAGGTGGAGTACTTTATTTTCTTGAATTCCTTTCTGTTACTAGTTCTTTGGAATACAAAACTTCATGGATTCATGGGTCTAATGCATTCTAATAGTTTTAATTTCCTTCATATTATGAATCATTTTCAGTTCTTGTGTTAGGGTTCTAGTGTTCTCATGAATCATATGAATTCGCAATGAAGTCCGTGAAGTTGCAACTTCTGGTCATTAATAAAAGTTAGAAAGTTGTATAGGATTGTGGTTTCATATCCGTAAGATGGGTTAAATAGTTCATATCTTTATTGAAATTTGCCTTTCTTCAGAACGGAGGAAAACTATGGGAATGCTATTTTGAAAGAACTTGTGCAGATATAACTTTGAGCCTTGAGATCCTGAGTGATAATTTTCTTGCAGAGAAGGAGAATTTGTGTCTTTATGGATTTCCTAATGAACAGTGGGAAGTCAATTTGCCGGCAGAAGAGGTACCACCAGAGTTTCCTGAACCTGCATTGGGCATCAACTTTGCAAGGGATGGGATGCAAGAAAAAGACTGGATATCGCTGGTTGCTGTCCATAGTGATGCTTGGTTGTTAGCTGTAGCATTTTATTTCGGTGCTAGATTCGGGTTTGACAGAAACGAAAGGTAATCCATTCCCAGCCTCCAGCTCTTTAAATTGGTAGATCTTGAGCTTTCATTTCTAGCTTTAAGGAATCAATGTAAATTTCTATGATTGAATTGTGCCTCACGTGGCGGTGCTTCTTCATATGGTTCAACTAAATTTACAAATCTTTTTTTCTTCATTTTGATTTGTTTTACATTTTAGTTACAGACGTTTTGGTCAAAATTCCTCTATGAGAATGGAACCAATGTGTAGCGCTTATTGCTGGTTCATCAGTTAGTCATTTGCAGGAATGGTTGCTAAATTTTATTGTGATTTTCCCTTTATAGCTTAAAACTTAATTGTGGGTTGTGTCCTAGGTTGAACATAGGAGTTTCTTTGAAATCCCCACTTAAATAAACCATTATTTTAATTATATTCACTAATAATGATTTAGATAGCCCTTTTGTGCTTTGCGATATAAAGTTATTAATTAATAGGTCTCAGTTTGTTATTGGTTTTTTCTAGTTGCTCTAGGATAGTACAGTGATTGTGGTTATCCTAAAGGTTTAGGGCCAAAGTGATTACCCTGAACCCGATTAAATTGGAACGATGACCTATCAATTGGGGAGATACTCATTACTCTACAACCCTGATCCTTGAAAATAGGGTTTTAACAAAATGGTGGGTCACTTCTCATTAAAGGAGAATCCATGCTCTTATCGATGGAAGCTTCTCATTTTTTTTCGGGACTGTTGTAACACCGTTGAATCATTTGCCCGTCACCTGTTCCTGTGAAAATTCCATGTATCAGTGAAAGTTTATTTTCTTGTTAAATATGATGTACCGCTTGATGATCTTTTCATGTATCTCTCATTTTGTCTTCATCTCAGCTCTTCCACTGCCCTTCAGAAATTTGACTAGATGGTCTGGTTGTGTTTCTTGATTTCCAGTGTAATTCGATATAATTCTTTGACTGGAATGTCTCCCACGTCCTTTTTTCAAACTTCAGGTTTTTTTCTCTGGAATCACATATAGATTACCAGTTGCCATCCTCCTTTGTGCATGTCTCATTTTTCTCGGGTCTCATATGCATTTTCCTTGCTTCTCAATGAAAGCCTTTCTTGCTTTACCCTACACGTCAGGAATCAGAAATTGTGCACAGGTGATTTGCATTTTTCGATTTTAATATTCCCAGTGCCAACATTTGGATGCACAGCAAAAGTATGGGAGTGCTCATGAGCGGTATGCAAGGTTTTCTTCCTGTCATATCTCTGTGAGGAGGGTGGTGGATGAAGATCGGGAGATTAAAATAACTTATTTCGCCTTTTTTTCTTTGAGGAAATCTTGGTTGCAGATTTTATTTTTATTTATTTATTTATATTTTTCCTGTTTCCTTTTTGGTTTCCAGTCTCTTTCAAACTCCTCCATTTCCAGGGTGGGCATCCCTGTGTGTTATATTAGCAGTGGATGGCCGGAGCCATGTTTATATCCATAGAGGAAATCCGATCCAATCAGGTGTGTGACAAAAGAAGGATGGTTAATCTTCCGAAAAAAAAGAATGTACGATTCAGGAAATGAGCTGTGTGAACTGTAGAATTCCTCAGAATGCGACTACTAGTTTTGTTACTAATTATGAAGAACGCGAGACACTGGTAGAGAGTGACCACAAGATAGCTTACTGAGTTTATCAGTAGTAAGACATCGAACTCTAGACAGTTAGCTGAGTCCCCCATTATGAAGGATAGAACAATCTTATTAGATCTAGTGCATTATGAAATGAATTCTCTGGTATCAGGTTCTGAACAGGTGACCATCTCGCTGTACGATCTGATAACGATGGGGACCCAAGAGGGTTGCCACATTTCCTAAAAATAATTACATTTTTTAACTTATTCTTTATTTTTATTTTATTTTCTCATTTGGGTTGTTCCATTCATCCGATTCTCATCTGGCGATGCAGGAAACGTTTATTCACGATCATAAATGATCTCCCCACCATTTTTGAGGTCGTCACCGAGAAGAAGCAGGTCAGAACTTCCGGCAAGAGCAGCGGCGGCGGCGGCGGCAGCAGGCCCAAGTCAAACTCTAAACCGGTAAACCCTTTGGCCTTGGCCTTTTACGGATCTCTATGTGAGCCCGTTGAGCGCAGAAGTCGTACCAGTTCTTCACCATCAATGGGAACGAATCGAGACGGTTGAATGATGTACAAAATCCTTGACCCCTCACCGCAGGGCCAGGAGCATCCGACCAGGTACCCGAAGCCGGGGAACCCTAGGAAGAAGGACGAGATGGACGACGACGAGGCGGCGGCGGGGGAGGAAGACGACGACGATGACGAGGAGCACGGGGAGACTCTCTGCGGCGCGTGCGGCGAGAACTACGCCTCCGACGAGTTCTGGATCTGCTGCGACGTCTGCGAGCGGTGGTTCCACGGCAAGTGCGTCAAGATCACCCCCGCCAAGGCGGAGCACATCAAGCAGTACAAGTGCCCCACGTGCACCAGCTCCAAGCGAGTCCGCCCTTCCTAAGATTCATTAACCCTAACTCCCTTCTTCTTCTTCTTCCTCCCTTCCTACGCTGCCATCGGCCGTCAGAGGGACGACGACACTCCATTGTTGTTGGTAAGATAGTATCGACGAGCATCCTGGTTTTACTACCCCCAAGGCCCATTTTCTGGTAATGGGCCTCGAAGCCCGGGGTAGCCCACTCTCTTTTCATCCCCCCTTAGGCGAAAATGGGCCGGTCAGCTCCGCATTTGGGCATCTGGTTATGGGCTTTTTATCTGGGCCGGGCATCCTAGAAGAGGGGATTGATTCCAGTTTCAGTTCCTACTCGGCCCCCGTTTTGGGCGCTGTTATATACATTACTGGGCCAGGAAGGCCGGGCAGCCCGTGATACTATACCCCGCCCCCTCGCGGGTTAATGAGCCAGCCTGCTCGGTGGCTGATGGGCCAGGCAGCTATGAAAAATGGGCCAGTATGTCTGCCATTGGGCCTGATGATGGGCTTTTCCTATGGGCCCGGGTCTCCTATAAGACGTTTTTAGGTTGTGTTATATATACAGATTATTGGCCTACATTCTGTTTCTTGTAATGGGTCTGGAAGGCCGGGAAGCCCGCTATCCTGTCCTCTCCCTAATGCGGGCTATTGTGCTAGGATATCGGCCTTTTGTGTATGGGCCTGAGCCTCCTAGAAGACGGTTTATAGGTATTATAGATATTATTGGGCTACTTATTGTTTCTGGTAATGGGCAGGAAGCCCGGGGCAGCCCGCTATCCTGTCCTCTCCCATGCAGGGGTTAGTGCCCTAGTCAATTTGGCCGTAAGACGATGGACCGGGAGACCGACCTCTGGGCCCGGTTATGGGCTGTTTATATGGGCCTGGGCTTCGCAGAAGACGGGCTTAATTCCAGTCTCGGTTCCTACTCGGATGGTAGGGCCAAGCCGGGCCTATACGGAATTTTTCGGGCTTTCTGTCCAGGCCCAGAACTTTTTTAATATATATATATATATATATATATACATATTCGTATTTATTTATTTATATGAAAGCTCTTAAAAGTTGCCGCTAAAATATTATCCTCGCGATGAATCTATTTACGTGTATGCCATTGTTGGCTTAAACGCTCTGTGGGCCCAAGGGAATATGTGGACCCCGCGACTTATCCGTTGCCATTCGGTGGGCTCGAGCAGGACGAGTGCTTGCGTCATCAACGCGCCGCCATGAGCGGGGCGGGGAGACGACGTGTCTTGGCGGGGCTCAGAAGGTGGGCCCATCTGACTCGGCTGCCTATTGTTATATGAACCGCAATTCCTATTCTTATCCCCGTAACAAATATTTTTGTATTAATATCCTTACCACCTGCCAAACGTACCTCAGAAAGTCTTCGTTTGACTATTTTGTCGTTAATACCTCAGACCTAGTAATTTCGTTTCTCCATACTTTCTAATTTACCCTATAATAAAATAATATTACATTTTTATTCAAGAGAATCCCTATGAATAACTTGGTTTTTTTCGTGTTTCATAATACCCGAAAGGTAGTGAAAATTTCTTTCGTATCCCAAAGATAGATCTGCCCAAAATAAAATTGTTAGGAGGATTGTTTATCAAATACGATATTTATGTGGGAAAATATCCACTTGATCATTATTTTTTAACCCAAAATGACGAAGAGAATATAGAGGAAACCGACACTAAATTATATAAATAAATAATTAAATTCATTTATGCAATAAAAAACAATATTTCCTAGTAAGGAATTCCTTCGATTTTTTTATGGCAGATTAAATCATCTTAGAAGTTAACAATTTGATTGATTACTCTTGGACATAGATTCTAAGACAAATATAAATAAATAATAATCAATTTAAATATAAAAAATAATAGTTGGGTTTTATCACAAAACTGACACCATTTTGTCGTAGGGCGGAGGCCGTCGTCACTCTCTCTCTCTCTCTCTCTCTGGCGGCCCGCCTGTGATATTTACCTCCATCCACTCTACTGCTCACATCCCCGGCCACTCCACTCTCGCCCACCGGCGTCGTAGAAAACCATGGATTTTCGTCGGCGGGGAACCTGAAGAGGCAGACCCAGATGCCGGTCTCACTGGCGGTGGAGCTCGTCGATTTATAGATCGCCGGGGATTCTTCCCCCCCTCGTGATCGATCAGCAAGAATCTCTCTCGATTTGGAGGGAGGACGGTTTTGGCTGTGCGTTATCGGAGGCGGCTATGGAGTTTCAGGAGGAGGAGATGAGGAGATCATCGGCGGAGCCGCTGGCAGCGGCGGCGGAGGACCAGATGCCAGCGGAGATCGACTGGGAGATGCTGGACAAGTCCAGGTTTTTTCTCCTCGGGGCGGCCTTCTTCTCCGGCGTGTCGGCGGCGCTGCACCCCATCGTTGTGCTCAAGACACGCCTCCAGATATCTCGCTCCGCCGTCTCCTGTCTCCGGGCGGCATCCTCCATCCTCCAGCAGGAAGGTCCCCTGGCCTTCTACCGCGGCCTCGCCACCTCACTCACCGGGACCATCCCCGCCAGGGCGGTCTACATGGCGGCGCTGGAGGTCACCAAGAGCGGCGTCGGCGGCGCCGCCGCTCGCCTCGGGGTCTCCGACTCCGCCGCCGCCACCGTCGCCAACGCCGCCGCGGGGCTCAGCGCCGCCACCGCCGCGCAGGTCGTCTGGACCCCCATCGACGTCGTGAGCCAGCGGCTGATGGCGCAGAGCGCAGGAGGAATAGGAGCTTCTTATCATGGAGGGATCGACGCTACCAGGAAGATCCTCATGGCGGAGGGGATGAGAGGGCTCTACAGAGGATTCGGGGTCTCCATTTTGACCTATGCGCCGTCGAACGCCGTCTGGTGGGCTTCCTACTCCTTGTCGCAGAGGATCATCTGGGGAGGAATCGGTGGGGGCGGCGAGAGATGGGTGACGGCGGTGCAGGCGGCGAGCGCGGCGGTGGCGGGGGGAGCGGCGGCCGTGGCCACCATGCCGCTGGACACCATCAAGACGAGGATGCAGGTGCTCGGCTCGGCGGCGGAGGGCGGCGGTGGGAAGGTTGCGCCGGTGACGGTGGCCAGGACGGTGGAAGCGCTGCTCCGGGAAGGCGGGTGGGCTGCGTGCTACAGAGGGCTCGGCCCCCGGTGGGCGTCCATGTCCATGTCCGCCATCACCATGATCACCACCTACGAGCTCGTTAAGCGCCTCTCCGCCAAGTCTCCTAGTACCCACTGAGAATTGCCTGGTCTGATCTCCCTCTCTCTCTCTCTCTCTCTCTCTCTCTCTCTCTCATGCATCTGTAAATATGATATCACCAGGTAGCGGGCTGAGAAGGCCGACTGAGAATTTTCCAAGAAGAAAGTAATCTTCTTTTCTCATGTCGGCATTCTTCCGAACGTCTGGCGGGCCCCATTGGCGCACTGCCTTTTTGGCAGCTTCTGCATGCTCATGAAAGGAGAGATAGAGAGGCCGAAGTCCGGGTCTAAAATGACCTTTCACACGTGACTCCACCGGCCTAGAGAGAGAAAGAGTCGTAAATAATTTTCAGAAGGAGGTGCTAATGGGCCGACGATAGGTTGCTGTACCCGACCTAGCCCAATTCACTTCCGGTCGGGATAGTCTGGCCCCAGAGACTGTCTGACCCCTTGGCCTAATCTCTCTTTCTCTCTCTCTAAATATAAGAAATAATATTATAAATTCATTTTCTCCGGGTGGGGAAAATCCCTTCCGGGCGTTGATTACCGATGAGAAACCCACAAACCGCGGAAATTATGAACCCAAGAGGGTCCAACAAAAGATCAAGGCCGGCGAGTAAGACGACCGCCCGGTCGATAGCTCTTCACCAGCTATAGACGCCGGTTAAATGTCGCCACTCCGGCCCGTTAATCCCCTCTGCCCACCGTCCCTAACCCGAAGCAGCAATTTGCCGCCCGCCACCGCCCACCAACTTCACTCCGCCGCGGTCGGAGGTAGACTCGCCGGAGTAATTCGCCGCCGTAGCAGTAACAGTAACTCTCTCTCTCTCTCTCTCTCTCTCTCTCTCTCTCTCTCTCGATCGAAGAGTATATATGAGCGTAAAGGAGGAATAGCATGAGACTTACGGCAGAGGAGATGGACCGATCCCTGGGGTTCCGTCTGTTTCTCGCGATGTCATATCTATGGCCGAGTGATAGACTGGTGGCGCCGTCTCCTCTCACCGCCATTCGTAGTCCACATATCGCCGGCGCCGCCACTGCCCCCGATGCTTCAACGCTTGCCGCCGCTTCCCCCCCGCAACCGACTTCGCCGGAGCCGGCCCGACAACCACCGGCGGCGGCGGCGGAGCTCCACCAAGCTCCGATACGGCCGGCGACATCGCCGCCGTCTCCTCACTCTTTCACCACCAATGAGAGGAATCTCGGAGGTTAGCTATAGGAATCCAGAGAGGTGGCAGCCATATCTCCCTTCCTCCTCTGTTCTAGGTTTCAGGGATTTGGCTTTCAGACGGTGATCGTAGAGCACGTGACTCTCGCCATGCACACACGTGCCACTGTTGGTGGGTCTAGCTAGACCGAAAGCCCGCCCATAGGCCCATTTGGCCTAAAATATAAAGCAAGGAACTTTCTCTCTCTTGTTAATAAAAATAATTAAAATTTACGGTTACATACCCAAGCCGCAGCAGCCACGCCGGCGACGGTCGCCTTCTCCGGCGCCGGTGGTCCCTCCGCCGTTCAGAGGTACTGCTGGTGTACTCTGGCCCGGTTCTCTTCCCACCACAGTTTCGCATGCATCTCACCGAACCTGTCACGGCTGCGGGAAAACTTGCCTGAGAAGGAAAGGAAACCATGGCTGTGGGGGAGGAATGATGATGGAGCGGAGAGTTACTGACCTGAAGCGGACTCGCCGGAGCGCCCGGCCGCCGCCGGCAAGGGCCCTGATGGTGATGTAGACACCGGGCTCGTCCTGCTCCACCCACTCCCTCTCTTGGTCATCCTCTGCGGAGCCGCTCGTCCTCGCCGAGTGGCCGACAGAGGAAGCCTCCGCCGCGGCGGCGCTAAGCTCCGGCAGCTTCGGGGTGCCGGCGAGCCTACCAGAGCCGTTGGCGCGGCGGTATGTGGGGTGGTGGTCGAGGGAGTCCGGCGAGGAGTAGCTCCCCGCTCCGCCGCCCGCTCCGGAGAACTTGTGGAGGTTCCGAGGAAGGCGTCCCTCGAACAGCGGGGGAGTCACCGGGCTGTCCTCCGCTGATTCAGCCAGCGAGCTCTGAACACCGAGGCGGAGAGAATCAATGAAAGATAAGAACGATAAAAATGGGAGAAGATGATGGGAGACCTCACCTCGTCTTCGGAACGGGGAGGGGTGGGGAGTCCCCGGCGGTGGAGACGATGGACGTTGTAGAGTTCCATGACCTTGTCGCAGTTCTCCGCCCACCACCGCTGCGCCTGTCTCCTGTTGAACATCTCCCGGCTGCAGGGGAGAACAAGAAGAGATAGATCACACCAGGTAAGAACGAATTCACGGCACAGCTAGCAAACCGAACAGCGTTGACACTCCAAAACAGGGATCGGAAGGAGGCATCTGATCGAATCTGAGCCACGAAAATCACAGCAACGCTCGACTGATGCCATTCAATTCCTCGCGAGGGCATCCCCGCTGGTGAAGGATCCACGGCGAGTTCAATGAGGGGAACCGGACCGGGGATTGAAACAATTCTACGATAATTAACATCTTCAGAAGACGCGTGGCCGAGCAAGGGAAGGATAGATCCACGCCGGCGAGAAGGTCGCCGGCGATGAAGGGGACGACGGGAGGGGGGTCAGAACGAGCTTTCTCGTTTCCCGAGAAATCTTTTGCTCCGCGGCAGGTAAAGCCAAAGTTCCCGGCAAGGAATCCCCGTACATGAAAACTACCTCATGCTCGACAAATTGCAAGAAAACCCACTGTTAACTACTGTTCATAAAAAAGGCACCACTAGTGTGAATTTAGCCCACCTTTCGATTCAGTCTTCTTCTCCGGCGCCGGTGATCACGGCTCGCCGGCGAAGAAGAAGAAGAAGGAAGAGGATAAATGGAGGTGAAGAAGCTACCTGAAGCGGATCCTTCTGAGGTCGTTCTTTCCATAGGGGAGGGAGAACAAGGTGATAAGGACGCCGGGCTCCACCTGCGCCACCCACTCCCTGTACTCCTCCATCTCCATTGCCAAATCCTCCATCCGGCCGCTCATCGACGGCGTGACGTCGGCGCCGGAGATAGCTCTCAGCCGCTCCTCTACCTCCCTTCCCAGCACCGTCCGCCGGCAGGAACCGTTCCACCTCTCCGATTCCGACGCCGCTTCCGATTCGGCATAGCTCGTGTGGCGGCCGTCTCCCGCGCAGGGCCTACAGTGGCGGTAGGCTCCGGTGGCCTTCACCGCCATGTCCTTGATCTGGAGACCACCACAGAGCGCAATCACACCAGGAAGAACCCTAAGATAAACAAAAACGGCCGGCGGCATCATACCTGGGAGGTTAGGGCTTTAATGGCCTGCCGCGTGCTCGGTCCTCCGGCGAGATCATCGTCCTCCGAGTAGTCTTCAAGCGATCCGCCGATCTGCTTGGAACAAGCAATGCAGGTCAGCATCTGGAAGAAGAAAACTTTTCCCCCCTCCGACTCCCGTGATGGCAGCAGCTCCTTCTCAGGGGAAACGATGCGACGGCCCGTCTTCCGCTCAGAGCTTCCACTCCATGCGCCCCGGTGAGAAGCGGGAGGAAAGAGCGAGAGAGGAGGGGGAAAGCTGCAAAAGCCGAGAGAGAGTGCTCGTAGTAGTGGGCGGCTTGTCCGCCAGACCAAAGCTGTACGAGTTGTAGTTGCAGGAGAGAGAGAGAGAGAGAGAGAGGAAAGGGCTCAAAGAAGACCTGTTCTGGGGGTTCAGCATTGGGCATACCCATCAGACGGTGCGAAATCTCCATCAAGGGGCGTGATTTCCAGCGAAGATCGGACGGCGGTGAGAAGGATCCCATGGACTCCTCCCTTAACGGAGAACTCTGGGCCGTGAGATCTAAATCGCACGGAAGCGATTTAGGTGGCCTATTTTTGAAGCGATCTTGTCCGTCTGTAATACAAAATGAAATTTCATCAGACGATCAGAATAAATAAATAAATAAATAAATAAATAGTTCTCTCTCCCATCGTTTTGCTTAGCATTTTTTATCTATTTATACAAAATACTCTAAAATGCAGTCCACGTGAGATCTTTACCGTCAGGAGCTAATAATGGAAGACGAAAATAACAATTTTCTAATTCCCCAGTTAATATTAAAAAAATAGCATATTTCATTTCTTACTTGACTAAAAATATATTAAAATTTTACATCATATCTACATATACGTAAAAATGCAGTAAATGGGGGGGGGGGGTTAACGGGCTAGATCTAACAATGTTGAGGCCCAACGGTACTCTGGTTCCATCAATCACGGAGACAGGAGAGAGAGAGACGCGTACATCCTAACGATAATGATTCATTGAATGTGGACCAGATTAGGGAAGTTATAGGACGTTTAGAATACACTGAATCTGGACAGATCCTACATCATGGGGACTTGTCTTCTTAAGAAGCAGTGATATGAACAGACGTACGAGGTCACGGAAGGATTCCCCGTTTCGGTTCTCAATGTGGGTTCCGTTTTACTTAAAAAAGTAGATAGGAAACCCTATTTGCGCTATCGGTTACTCGTACGGTTTGAGACCTTCCACGGCTGCTAAATATGAGAGGCCGTTACATCATCCAGTACATTTCGCGATGCACCAGTCGGATGCGCACACGGCAGAGAGATAGAGTCAAGATTCATTGTTCCTAAGATAACGTGACCGACCGGGGCCCACACCACGCTACGTCGGCCTACCAAAAAAGAAGATTGAATCCTGTAACGGACGCGGCGACCGGTCAGCGGGAGGTGATCCGTCTTTGACTTGACCTCATCCTTTGTCTTCTTCTAGACCGGCACGCCGCCGACGGCCTGTAAATACCCCGTTCCCCCGCCGGCCAAGCAGGCACAAGAAGGGTGACATAGAAGAGAAAAGGAGAAGAGAAGATGAGATCGGCCTTCGTTCTTGGAGACCAATCGGCGTTTGCTCTCGTCTGCTGGAGCCATGGCGCCGGAGATGACCGACGGCCGGCCGAGGGTACTCATCGTCTCCCCCCGGAGCGTCCGCAAGAATAAGTTCATCGATTTCGTCGGTAAACTGCAGCACCATGCACTGGTTTTCTCAGATAGATAGATAGATAGATAGATAGAGAGAGAGAGAGAGAGAGAGAGAGAGAGAGAGAGAGAAGATCGCTTCTCCTTTTATTTCTGTGAATAAAGAGAGTGAGCCGTGTGGCAGGCCAGTACCATCTGGAGCTCCTCGTGAGGTACGGGGCGGCGCCGGTGATCGTCCCCCGCATCGCCGGCGTGGACGAGATACTCGACGGCTTTGAGCCGATTCACGGTGTTCTCCTCTGCGAAGGGGAAGACGTCAACCCCTCCTACTACCAGACCGGCCCCCCCGCCCTCTCCCCTGAGGAGGCCGAGGAGGTTCGCCGGCTCCACGCCGGGGTTCACAGGTTCTCAACGTCGCCGCCGGCGGCACGCTGCACCAGGACGTGGCCCGAGAGCTCGGCAAGGCGGGCTCGCCGGTGGTGGTGCACATGGACTACGGCAACTACGACGGCCACCGCCACGGTGTCTCCGTGGTGGCGGAAAAACCGCTGCATTTGTGGTTCATGGAGTGGCTGGCGGAGGAGGGCGGGAGGATGGAGATGATGGTGAACAGCTATCACCACCAGGGCGTGAATAGGCTCGCGGAGAGGTTCGTGGCGATGGGGTTCGCCGGCGACGGCCTGGTGGAGGCGTTCTAGGACCCCACCGCCTACGACCCCGGGGAGGGCGAGTTCTTGGTGGGGCTGCAGTCCATCCGGAGAGGATGAGGGCCTCCTCGTCCGACGCGTTTGATTATCCAGGGTGCCCCTCGATTTACGAGGTATTTCTTTCTTTATTTCAGTGGCCGTTTTATTAGTTCTGAAATTTTCATGGAGCTGGTTTCTTGAGAGATTATCTAAAAAGGGTTTTTATTTTCTTAAGAATAATTCCCTTGAAGAATATAAGTTACTCCTATTTAAAATATTCCTCGAAACATATGACATATCAACACAGCATTCTAGGGGGTCTTTAGCCTATAGAAAAGTCAGTCAAAGCTTCCAGCATAATCTAGAAACTATTATTTAAATACAAAGAATCCACATTATAAATCAAAACCTTCTTTGCATTATAAATATTTACATTTTCAGAAAAAAATTAAATTTCTACATACATTAAATTTAAGGGTCAACCAATCAAGATGCTACAATACGACATAAACAAAATTCTCATAAATCTAAATTAATATTAAAAAAATGTTAAAAAATAAATTATCACGCACAGGATTTTGTGAGGGCAGCCACAGCTTATCAGAGGAAGACGAAGAGGAGGATCTCCTGGAGCAACAAGGCCTGGAAGACAGGCAAGATTAATGATCAGATGGTCGGACCTAAACTCAGCCTCCAGGTAGTGAATTCGGCCCTTTTGTTTTTGGCCGAAACTCTGGTCCCCCCGAGCCCCTAGGTCGAGCCTACAGATGAGTGTGTGTGTGTGTGAGAGAGAGAGAGAGAGAGAGAGAGCACTTCTAGCGCAGAGCTCTCAATTTAGGTCAAATAAAGGCGTGGATAGATGAACCCATTTTCCAGTCTTGGGTTCCAAAGTCAAACTTATGAAGAAAACGTGTGCACGATCCAGTCTCAAATGAATTCGGCCTTAATTAACGACTAGGTTCATCCCTACCTTTCTTTTTTCTGAGCCAGATTTGCGGGCGCCATCTCTGGATCGAGTTCCAAGGCTTGAGAGAGAAACATGGGCCAATCAGGAACCCTGAAGACTGTCAAAGAAGTCTCTCATCTCCTCTCTCTCTTCCGTACATATTGTGAGAAAGAGCGGAGCTCAGAAGAGGAGGAGAGGTTGAAACAGATGGGGGTGACGGTGAGGAACGGGTCAGCGCACGTGGAGAAGGTGAAGAAAGGGAGCGGCGAGCGGGGTGCGGCGGCGGCGGCGGCGGCGGCGAGGGTGATGGAGAGAATGTCGGTGGAGCAGCTGGCGGAGCTGATGCAGTTCTAA